ACTGCAGAGTACCGGTCCTTGTGCACTGCACTTCGGGTTATTGAAAGAAGCATACATACCAAGTTTGAAGTCAATCAGACTTATAGTGACTGAGTTATGCTCCGGACAAGCTTTAGGGGACGCCGACGCCGACAACGACAACGACGCCGCCGACACAGACGCCGCCGACACCGCCGACAAAAGTAACCCCTATATGTCACCTTTTCAAGGCGACACAACAAGTGTACTGTAAAATTATACATTTTTTCAAGGCCAAAATTTAATACAATGAACATTTCAGACTAACTGTCTAGGTTATATATTTGCAGTGTCTAATTTTTGTTCTGTTAAAATTTATTTTATACTTCTGACACTTTGCAAAATATTAGTGAATATGGTATAAATTTATTATTGCATATATCTTCAAATCATGCATACAGCAAAATTTAATCACTCATAAAAATCTTTGATTTTACGTTATAATAAATGTATATGAAATTTGGCTGGTGATTATGGCATATTCTCTCTAATTGGCATATCAAAAGAAAAGAAAAACACAAAAACACCATAAAACATTTTACATAACCCTACTTCCTTTTGGCCTTGTTTTCAGACAAATTATTTGAATTTGAATTATTTGAGCAATCTTAGTATACTGACAACAAGAATCAACACTATAAAATACATGTAATACAAAAATCTGATGAAAAACTAAATCTTTGTAAAAAATACAGTGTACCCTGTACAGAGCGACCTTCTGTAGGACAATAACCTTTAAACATTAGCAGTTAAAATACTTCCCAAAGTAAGACAATAGATTCAACCTCTCCAGAGCAACACCTCCCACCAACAATCAATCTCTTTGTTTTCAAAAGGGTGTTGCTCTATACAGGTTGTATTGCTACATCAAAATAAAAAATCTATATACATATATGGAAAATAGACTAGGCTACTTTGCGATCACATTCCATGACCACTAAAATACTCAATCATGATTAAGGCTCCCGCGTTTACAATTTTTTGTAAACGTTTACACGATTGCCAAGAACCCAAACGATACCGTTTAAACGGTGGTACCTCTATGTACTATACACACCATGTATTTGAGTCACCAAATGATGTTTTACTTTCTATTTTTAATACATGTACAAATAAAGAACGTGCAGTTCTCATCATGATTGAGTCAGCACACATGTTCTGCATTTTATCCCCATTTTTTACCAAAAATGTATTATGTCACAAGCAATTTTGCACAATCATGATAGATGGTTTCATAAGGAATGTTTATGTGAAATAGTATCAAAATTTGATTCAAATTTTTTCCAAGAAGATTTTAAGTTTTTCCAATATACAAGAGCTAGAACAGACAAAACACCCAAGTGGCCATGCTTCTTAAAGGACCAGTATCCCTCAGAAATGCTATCATTTCTATTTCACAAAAACTTTAATTTTGGTATCTTGTTACAATTTCCAAAAATACTCTTTTGCCATGTATGTTAACTATCATTGCTTCGTTGGCAATTGATATAATTATAGTGAAAAAGTATATTTTGTATGGAAGTCAAAATACTACTTTGTTTACATTTTGCTACCTTTGTGACATATTCAGCACTACTTTCTTCAGCTGTTAAACATCTAACATACTTTAAATCCATTATTAAACTTACTTTTGACTTTTCTAAAGAATTTGAAATATTCTGAGGCATAATGTTCCTTCAACAAATCAAAATTGTCTGAACAATCTTGGTAGTTGGACACTTGATAGAAGGATCATTATTGTGAATATTTAAAAAAAATAAAATTAACAACTTTTTTTGCAAGAATGCTTCCAAAGATTTCCCTACATGCATTATTTATATTTTACATTTTCACTAGAAATCTCAGAAAAATAACCAAAAAACTCCATTCTGAACGAGAAATAGTCCATATTTACATATATACAAACAAGATAACTTTTGTGAAAAAATGCTATGCCACTGCATTAATACAACACTAAATAGTAGGAACATAAGTAGATTGGTTTGTTTCTATATAATTGAACTTTGCCATAATGCAGCAGTGTCTAGTGAATTTCAAGGTCATATTTCAGTATGTCAAATGTAAAGACAATATGCAGATGTGTCTAATGTTCAGATACAAAGGCAATAGTATAACAATTGATTCAAAATAGATGTATTCATACGTGACATAAAATTTAGGTATTTACTGTATGACATAACTGTATTAAACTTTGAAATACAGTTACAGTTATTTCTCTTAAATACTATCTTTTCAATTAGGCATTACCTATTTCTGAAGAAAACAACAAAAAAAAACAAAAACAAAAAAACATTTATAACTTAAAATCAGCATTACATTTTTTACTTTTTCATGCTTTATATTTATGTTATGTGCAGAAGTTCTTTCCATTAACTTGAAATCAGTAGAAAATATTAAAGAAATACATATTAAACAGACTGATACATTTACTGTCACAGTTTGCTGATGAACAGCAAAATCTTTAAATGCCACTCTTGATGTTTTATCAGATGTGAATGATAATGTCCTTAAAATGTGCTCAAATCATTTTTATAAATATCTCTGTAAAGCAAACATCTCTCTTGCTAGAGGTCATGACTTTTAGACTAACTCCCAGCTAATGAATCTTTTTTTTTGGAAAAAAAATTGCATAACATATACACATGTGTAATAGACATTCCAATATGAGTTTTTTCCCTTTCATTATTCAACTATAATTTGAAGAAAAGCCATGACCTGGGGCCGGGCCAATTTTGATCCCAAATCTATAATTTGAATAATGTTAATAGAGAATCATGCTATATCTATGCTCTAGCCCTTGTAATTGGTAAGAAACAGATTTTTGAAATTTTTTACTATATACATATAAGGAAAACATGTTACCCTGGGGCAGAGCCAATTTTAACCCCATACCTAGTTTCAATTGCAACAAATGTTTCTAAATTCCATATCAAATACCCATTTTTATATCCAAATGTTAAGTTCTACTTAAGCATTAGCAAAGGGCGTGGACTGTAGCTTGCAATTACCACTGCCATTCATGAACAGGCTCAATCAAACCTAGTCTGCAACATTTTCAATTCAGATGTATATTTAATGACCTTTTAGGTTTCAAATAAAGAAAATTAGCATATATCTGTTGGTATTTTACATATATCTGTGGGTTTTTCACAAACAACTGTGGATATTTTACCTAAACCATAGATATTTTTTCACCAGTAAAGCTGAAAAAAATGCTGTAAGACCTATACTGTGTCAGTTTGACTTAAAATCCAACAAAAACAAAGTAAACTTAAGTCAGTTGATATTTTATCTAAAATCAGTAAATATTTTAACTAAAACAGTTTATAATCACCAATGGCAAATATCAATGTAAATCTTGATAAACTATTCTTTTTAAAAAAACACTCTACTGTTTGCAAAAAATGACTTTTTGTTGCATAGATGTGTCAATGTCCAACGCTTTACAATCTTGATGTGAACTTGTATGAGAGGGGATGTAACTCTTGTATGAGAGGGGAAGTAACTCTTTCAGAGGAAGTTTTCATAGAGAGGCTCGTCCCTGTCATCTTCATTCTCTAAACTATCTGACGTACTTATCTCATCGGGAAACTCCAGTCTCTCTGGCGGTTTGCCGCCTCCTATAAAACCTTTACCACCTCGCTGTTTTTCTACAATAAATAGATAAATAGATAGATACATAAAATCTGCATCAGAAATGAACTGGTGTTACACCCTATATAATTTATATGTATTATTGAAATGTTTGGGAATTTGGTCACTTTGGCAAGCAGCCTCTAATCAATGGGAGCAGTGGTCTTGTAATTAAAGCCTTTATCTACCTCTCTATCAAGGACTCGAAGGTTCAAGGCCATTCTGGGGTCAAAACAAATGTTTCCATATTAGACAACATTACTGGTTATATCAGGGAAACAAACTACAAAATAATACAAGTTGAAATAAAAATTTTCACAATCAAGCCTTATAAATATAGTTTAATTCCTGCAGATCTGTTTTCTGTTCTTTTCCATGAATGAAAATTAACATAAAGGGTGTAGCGAATTTGTTTGACAAACCTATAAAACCACAGACCAATGTTCAAAATAATGGATGTAGGAATGATGTAGAGTACCAGTATAGTAAATGGCACAGGGTTTAGCCACTAAGTTTAAACCGCCCTGGCATTGACCACTGACAAAACAAAATGTGAAACAGGTCCATGTAATGGCTAATTTAGAGTTAAAATTTACTTACTTTTCAGAACAAATGGTTGATCATCATCACAAACTTCAGAGTCAGAGGAACTGTCTACCAAATTCTCGAAATCAACAACCAAGTTTGGGGGCTGAAAAAATCATTAATAAATAAAAAAATTGATTTAAAGAAGAGATAATAAATAACTTGATAAAAAGTAAATAAATGAAATAAATAACTTGATAAAATTTGAAGATGAACATAAAGCCATATAACAAAGTTAAGTATGTATATATAAATTAATTCTCTATAATGATAAGAAATATATAAACACGTAGAACATGCAGTGGTTGCATTGTGAGACAAATATGGGGAATCCTCCTGATTCACAGATAATCTTTCTATACTATTTCTGGCACAAACGGGCACCTGAGTAGAATCACTGATGTTCTGCAAGCTAGCTGGACAGCTTCATCCAAAGACCCTGTAGGGATTCGAACCCACAGTGGTGAGGGGCAAGTGGTTTGAAGTCAGGGACTTTAACCACTCGCTCACCTATGCCCCATGAAATTACTTAGAGTGAGTTGCCAGCACAGGTTTCCAATGGCAACCATAAATAAACTTGTTAATTTATCGTACAACTGTTTTTATGCTGATTAAAAACACAATTCAGGACAAATATGGGTGTTCCGTCAATCTAACTAACTTTAAAAGATAACAAACCATTCATTATAAATTTCTTGACAAATGACCGACTACTAATCTCACATGAATCTGAGCCATAAGTGATTGACAAATGACCATTTGACTCAATCTCCACCATCAGTTGTCAAGGTGACACTAATATCACATCTATATAAACTTACCTTCACTTTGTCAAACAGAAGTCTGCTCCATTTTCCCTCTCTTAATTTCTTCATTGAGATTGCGACAACATTAGAACCCACTTCTACTGTACTCTTCTCAACTATTATATTGTCAAACAGTCTATACTTAAATGCGTAACATAGTCCATCCACAACAGCCCTGGAAACAACAACAACAACACATTATTACAGTTCAACCTCAACATAGTGGCCCTCTGTACAACAATCACCTCTTTACATCAACAGTATAAATTTTTTTCATAAATTAAGACTTCACAATAAATCTAATGTATGTAGTGTAATATTTCTCAGCATTAACCAACATTTCTGTCTACCAAAGGGTGTTGCTTTACACAGGTTATACTGTATCTTATGCTGTTACCTCACATCAAACTTAAAACCAAACTTTATTATTTCTGACATATACAAACTCAAAACCTACTTTCTCACTTTACCTCTCCACCTTTTAATGCCTTAATCATCATGTATTCTTGAAGTGTTTAAATTGAATTATAAATAGTCATCAAGTTAAATACAAACATAGAATGCAAATAAGACACAATAATGTCAATTATATATGTAAATGGACCTTTATTCATGAAAATGACGCACAGAGACACAGTTTATGTACCCATTCTTGCATGTTTCTTGCGTTATTGTACTTATAATTATCAATGCATTTTGGATTAAACTTTACCTGAATTTGACAGAGTGATCTGTAAATGATACGATGTCACGTGGGGTTCCCGATACATTACTAACTGTAACCTTAAGTATGACACGGAATGTATTCTGTGACCATTTCACTTCTGGCGGGACGCTGATATAGAAAAACATAACAATATCAACACCCGATATATCATTTTTTCATAAACTATTGCCAATAGCTCTACATAATGTATGCAACAGTCTTGTCTATGTCAACTGTAGACACAGGCCAGCCAACATATATTTGTTACTTTGTTTTTCCGTTTTACGCCAATTTTAACACATTTTTGGCCGTATCTCAAGAGTCCATCCAAGTAACAAGCTTTCCTGGTTAAATAACAAGTAATTACCAATTTCACTACTTATCCCATATGATTTCTGAATCAATAGCGAGAGATAAATGACTTTTAGTCTAAGGGTCCGAGATAAACTGTCGTAGAGAAATTTCACTTTGCCGGAGAATGGAACCAGCAACCCATTGGTTACAAATCTAATGCTCTTCCTATTGAACTATGTGGGCGGACATTTACACAGTCTGACAAGGCTCTATGCTGTAGGTGGCTACATTATAACTTTGGGACATTGTATTTCCTTCAAAAAACAAGTTCTTCTGAACATTAAGTAGGCCAAGTTTATTTTATAAAATTTGCTTTGCACAAAAAGGAAATTTTTCATTTTTAAACACTTAAATAAACAATACACAAAAATATGTCCAAAAATACCTGGAAAACAAAATTTTACTTATTTGACTGTTAAAAGACCTGGTATTAAATAACATTTGCAAGATATTAAAATGTCTTATTTATAAAGATCTGTAAGACTTTGTGGCAACTTTATAACAAGTTTCAAATTTCAACCTTTAATCTATGTTTATCAAACAAATAATTTGTTTATTTTTTTCTAACTTTGATTCCTCATTTGCTCCAGTTATGCATATCTTTGCCAATTCTACTGCAGTGTTGATCAATCATTCTTAAACAAATATATAAGTCTACAATCTTTTCTTGGAAAAATATTTCATATACAAATTAAACTGACCTATCAGAGACGAGGGTTTGGTTATCAGACCGGATTGCTGTACCACGTAAAGGTTCTGATGGAACTTTGATGACCAGTGATGTTAGAAGATCTTTACATAACTGCTTGGTTGTTGATTTCAATTCTAACTGTAATATTCTGCAAAACAAAATCACATATATTTAACATTGAAAAAGGTACATAAATGACAATATTACCAAAAAAAAAATCTTTGAAGATATACAAATCTTTACCAAAAATACCTAAATTCTAAACAATATAAAAAGCGTTTTGAAAAATATCTTAAATGATACACAACAGAAGGTATTTATTGGAATTTTCACCCGCTAAATACATTATTTATTAATACATTTTGTGTAACATTATGTCATACAACAATATTTGACTGACAGAAAAAAAGTTCCAGGCATAATTAAAGGCACGAATATATATATATCTCAAATGATCAACCATTAATTTTACTTTCATTGGGAAGGGCTTAATGTTATTGTAATAGGACTTGTTTCGCAACCCATTTGCTTTTGTTCTAGTGTTCTATTTTGTGTGTATACTTGCATGTATAAAGGTAATAAAATATGGTTAAACTAATTACTTTCACTCTTACCCTGCTGGAACCAAAAGTAAATTTAAGTTTTGAGATGACAATATGTGGCCAAGTGGTTAGAGATGCTAACTTGTAATCACTGGTCAATCATCCCTCTGGGTTTAAATCTTGCCACAGCCTTTGGCTTCTTTTGAGTGAGAATCTTACTTAAAGAGTTGTTGTTACTCTCTAATGCCCACTTGTGCCTTAAGAGCTTTTGAGACTTTCCTCCACAAGTATGGCTTGCAAGTTGTGATATGACTTTTTACAGGGTCATTGTTTACAAATAAAAGTACACCGTATTAGAAACAATTTTGTTACCTAGTAAGTATAGGAACCATCTGTTGTTCTAACAGGAATGTTTTATGTTTTCTCCTTGTTGAAGAGAAATAATCACACTGCTGTACGGAATACTGGATACACTGTAGTGAATATGTACTGAGTTAATAATTTATTATCGAGAAAACAATACAATATTAGAACTTTATTATGTAAATACATATCAAACTTCCAACAAGAGCTGTCGGTAGGACAGCAACGCTTGACTATTCTTAGTGCTCGATAGTAAAAAAAAATGCTTGATACAATTACCTCCTCCTGTTTACAGGTTGGGGTAATAATGGTGAACAAGTGTGCAAAGTTTCAAAGCCATATGTCAATGGACTTTGAAAATATTTGAACTATTACAAAAACTTTAACGTAAATTCTAAGTCGAAAAAGGGGCATAATTCTGTCAAAATGCTTGATACAGTTACCTCCTCCTGTTTACAGGTTGGGGTCATGATGGTGAACAAGTGTGCAAAGTTTCAAAGCCATATGTCAATGGACTTTGAAAATATTTGAACTATTACAAAAACTTTAACGTAAATTCTAAGTCAAAAAAGGGGCATAATTCTGTCAAATGCTTGATACAGTTACCTCCTCCTGTCTACAGGTTGGGGTCATGATGGTGAACAAGTGTGCCAAGTTTCAAAACATATGTCAATGGACTTTGAAAATATTTGAACTATTACAAAAACTTTAACATAAGTGGTTACGCCGACGCGGACACCAACGCCGACGCCGACGCTTGGGTGACTACAATAGCTCTACTTATTCTTATCGAATAGTCGAGCTAAAAATTAGGAAATTTACATGTACTTCCAAATATAATATATTGAATATTCATTAATAAGCAATAATTTCATTTTAGGCTAATATGATTACCAGATACAGTGAATCAACAGTGAGATATCAAGAATATCACTGGTAACAGTTTTGCTGTTGCTAAGCTCAAGTTTCATTGTGTTTCAAAAACTTCTTAATATACATAGAGAACATTACTGTAACATATTTTTTATCAACAAATAGAAAGGTATACATATGATAAAAATACTATAACCGAACATACCTTATCACAGTCAGTTTTACTGAGATTCTTCACTATAGCTTCTATCAGAGATTCTTTCTTCAAGTCCTCATGTCCGCTGGTAATGTAAATAATATAGAAAACACTATAACAAGAATGATAAAATATAATTGTTTTACATGAAATTTTGAGGATACATTAGTATCAACTTCGCAGTCAGTTCCGCAGATAGTGGCAAACATTGCCCAAGGACAATTTGATTCATAATATCATGTCCCCTCAACTGATAAAATGTAATGAAGTTGTAACCAGCTTATGGAGAAATATGCTCAAAGTAATACAGAATTGATAAGTACAACATCATTTTATGCTGTTGTCATTACATGTATATATTTAATGCGCAACAACATTTTTAACAATATATCACTATCAACAATATATCACTATTAACAAATAATCATTATCAATTATGTTCATCTATGAAAAAACTTTTTTTTTTTTTAAATTTTAATCTTATATTTATATAACTCTGTCACCAGTGAATTTTTAAATCATAACATGCAGCCATTGTCCAAATTCTCATAATGCTAAAACAAAACTGCAAAACATTTTCTGCAACTATAGAGCAAGGCCAGCAAAAAGTCTGAAGTTTTATCTGGCTAAATACTGTTGGCTGACCATTTCCCACCTTTGTCATACTCTTAAGTAAGAGTGACAATAGCCAGTACAAATTCAAAGTAAGTCTGTAACACCCTTAACATCTGCAAGGAAAGTTTTAATATTGGGATAGTGTTTTTTTGTTAGGTTTAATGTCCCATCAACAAAGTATGTGACTTTCCAGCTTTACTCCGGTGTTCTTCTGACAAAGTGAACCACCGACATTCCGTGAACAAGCTGGATAGTTTCTCACAAGTATATTCTGACAATGCTTGTGAGGAACATACAGCGGTTGAGAGGCTAGTGGTTTGAAACCACTTATGAAACCACTTAACCATGGTAACCCTATAGAAATCAACCCTAATGTTGCTTAATTTGTAAAATGGACTTCACTTGCTTTAAATTTTCAACTGTCAATTGTTGAGTATCAAAAAGTAAAGAGCCTTATCGGACTGACAAGTAGCAGACTGGCCTGGCTAAGCACTGGTGACCTTGACATATTATTATAGCCATCAGTATCAGAAAGAAATATAGCCCTTACCTGTCATGTTCAGCAAGAGTTGCTATCAATGTAAGAACACCTTCAGCTACATCATGTTCTGATGTGTGCAACAAACATTTCAACAATTTCTGACAAATTGACTTCTCCATTAGATTCTCATATACCCTGCAATTTAAACAAATTTTCTTGTATATTAAATATTTCCGAGATATTCTGTTGCCTTTTTAAGATATATTGGGTAAAACAAACATTTTTGATACATTTTTGCTGCATATAATAAACTTTTCTTTCAAATTTGTATGGAACATAAAATATGTTCATAATTCTTTTTTTTTGTTGTTGGGATTTACATTTTATATTATTGTCTGAGAATATGGACTATGCATGGCACCCTCAGAGGGACTTTTGTGTAACTACAAAGATTTTTAATCACACACACAGTGACTTTTCAGTTATACTGGTGAATGAATAACTCATTATTTCAGGCGGATGTGAGTAGAATCCCCAACCCTTCCATAAGCTAACTGGATGTATATTAATATATTTACCTTTCTGACCCTTTACAGAGAGCTGCAAGTCCCCTACATGCTGCACCTTGTACCTGAATCATACAATAAAACAATGTATTAAATGTCAAATTTTAGTATCTCGGCATAGCAACCCCCTTTAGGAGACAAAGTTCGGTTGTTGATGAGAGGTGTTGCTCTGGAGAGGTTGAATCTATTTTGAAGTTTTACTTTGGGAAAAATCAAATCAGTTGTTGTGAAGGTAGTTGCTCTTTGGAGGTTGCAATATAAGGTGAAAACAGCATCAGAATACAAGTTTAGAGAGTAAGAACAAGCACTATCCACCGAACAACTATTCTTCAAACAATCTAGCTAAATAACAAAATGACAAGAAGCGCCGCAATGCGACGAAAACCAGGTTTTCAACGACCAAGTTTTGATGTGACAGCAATCAATAGGTCAAGGTGCACTGAAGTTATTGAGTAGATACTGAATATTCTATTGTAAGCAAATTACCTTGACCTTGCTCCCAGATATCTAAGTGGCAATCCGAAGCTGCCACTCAGCAAGTTCGGTGACAAAAGGTCAAAGCAAACTCAAGTTATAACATGAAAACTAAATGCATTAACCTTGATCACAGACACCTGGGTAGCAATCCCAAGCTGCCTCTTGATATAAGCTACCCATTCATCAAGTTTGGCGTCAATAGGCCAAAGCAAACTCAAGTTATTGAACAGAAACTGAATTTCTATTTTTAGTAACAGTGACCTTGACCTAGATCACAGACACCTGGGTAGCAATCCAAAGTTGCCTCTTGATATAAGCTATCCATACACCAAGTTTGGAGTCAATACGCCAAGGAAAAATAAAGTTATTGTGCGGAAAATGAATTTCTATTTTTAGTAACAGTGACCTTGACCTTGATCACAGACACCTGGGTAGCAATCCCAAGCTGCTTCTTGATATAAGCTATCCATACACCAAGTTTGGTGTTAATAGGCCCTAGCAAACTCAAGTTATTGAGCGGAAACTGAATTTCTATTTTTAGTAACAGTGACCTTGATCACAGACACCTAGGTAGCAATCCAAAGCTGCCGCTTGATATAAGCTATCCATACACCAAGTTTGGAGTCAATACGCCAAAGCAAACTCAAGTTATTGAGCAGAAACTGAATTTCTATTTTGAGTAACAGTGACCTTGACCTAGATCACAGACACCTGGGTAGCAATCCCAAGCTGCTTCTTGATATAAGCTATCCATACACCAAGTTTGGTGTCAATAGGCCAAAGCAAACTCAAGTTATTGAGCAGAAACTGAATTTCTATTTTTAGTAACAGTGACCTTGACCTAGATCACAGACACCTGGGTAGCAATCCCAAGCTGCCTCTTAATATAAGCTATCCATATACCAAGTTTGGTGTCAATAGTCCAAAGCAAACTCAAGTTATTGAGCAGAAACTGAATTTCTATTTTTAGTAACAGTGACCTTGACCTAGATCACAGACACCTGGGTAGCAATCCCAAGCTGCCTCTTGATATTACCTATCCATACACCAAGTTTGGTGTCAATAGGCCAAAGCAAACTCAAGTTATTGAGCAGAAACTGAATTTCTATTTTTAGTAACAGTGACCTTGACCTTGATCGGTAGCAATCCCAAGCTGCCTCTTGATATAAGCTATCCATACACCAAGTTTGGTGTGAATAGGCCAAAGCAAACTCAAGTTATTGAGCGGAAACTGAATTACTATTTTTAGTAACAGTGACCTTGACCTTGATCAAAGACACCTGGGTAGCAATCCAAAGCTGCCTCTTGATATAAGCTACCTACACACCAAGTTTGGTGTCAATAGGCAAAAACAAACTAAAGTTATTGAGCGGAAACCAAAAGTTGACGCCCGCCGACTTTGGCATTACAATAAAATTAAAAATTTACATACCAGTTCAGACTCTGTGGATGTTAACAGCTCGAACAACACTTGTAAGTTCTCCTTCAACATAAAGTAAGTCTTCAGTCTGATAAAAAAAAAAATCATTTACATATATAAGTATATACCTATTAAAATAGTCACAAAATCAACAATCGAGTTCATATTTATTTTTTCTAAATCAATGAAAAAGGAGAGAAAATACATTTAGGAAACAAAAAGAGAATGCAGAGTAAATGCTTGTCTACTACTTTTGAAAAAAAAATGAGTTAAAAAGGGACATAACTCCAAAACTAAAGCTTTCAGAATTATGCCCCTTGTCCAACAACTGCATCTATTAATGATTAGCAAGTATTCCAAGTTTCATATTGATACCTTTAAAACTGTTTGAGAAATGGGCTACATGAACGTTTTTGCACAACAACAATGACAGCACAGTGATCATAATGGCTCAACTTTTTTTTCATACAAAACAGACAAGCTAAGTATAGTCAAATTAATATCAAATGTTTAATGAAGACATCTTATAACTTAAAGCACCAATACCACATCCTACCTTCTTCAACTTGGGATGACAAAACCTGAAGTTAACACTGAATAGCAAAGGTATGCAATTAAACCTAAAAATATCAATCAATGGTGTAGGTAAAAAATTCAGTTACCTGGATGAAATATCTGAAATCTGGGCAATAAAATCTGCAGCCTGTTGTTGATATGTACAGTTGGAATTCTGTAGATAGAAAAAAAATCAAGATTCAAATTATTGAAAACTACGTAGTCTATAATTTGCATTTGCTACATTTTATCAACTGAAAATATTTCAACACATTGGAAATCTCATTTAATTATATTAAAGAAACAGAATCAACAAGTTTGATAACTATCAACTTTAAAATAGTTTTGTTCCCTTAATTCAAATTTTTCAACTGTATTTAATGCATGATTATATTTCATATAGATTTTAATCACACATACCGGTATATACATATCTACCTGTTGTTAATCATGAATATACAAGAGCTGTTAATAGGACATGCTTAACTATTTTGTGCTTGATAGTAAAAAAGGACCATAACTCTTTCAACATCAATGTAAGAGTTGTTGGTCTTGGATAATGACCTCCTATTATGCTCTCAAATAAGTGTGTAAAGTTTCAACCCATTCCATTCAATAGTAATGGAGACAGCGCATCAGTTTAAACTTAGAAACATTAAAGAAACAAATTTTACCATTTCAAGACATCTGATGATACATGGGACACATTTGACATCTATCAACTCATCACATACCCTAATATATAAACATAAGAATTAAAATTTTCATACCAGAAAATATATCTATTGTAGTCTATACATGGTACACATTATATGTCATACAACACTACTGCAAGCGGCATATTTTTAGCATTGATGATGGAAAATAACCTCAGGTGTCCCTCCATGCATTATTTCAGGCACGAGGTAAAACCACCAACAATCCTTAAACTGGCTGGCTCCTTTTTCATATGAAAATAAACAAAGCCCTAATCAGGATTTGAAGCCAGTGATGATAAGGAAGTGATTCAATGCCAGTGACATAACCACTCAGCCAAAGAGGCCATTTTGACACGATACCATTCCTGACTTCTTACACTATGTCAAATGTTTCAATTTATGCAGACTAGTTTTGGAACAGGCTAGTAAACATAGTATATTAACATGTTTTTTTTATCTTCCCTTTAGATTGGGTGTAATTTGGACGCAAAGACTTAAGAACATAATTTCATAACCAACATACTAGATAAGGTAGCCAATGTTTCTTAGATTTAACATTCATATTAAATATTACAAACATATAACTTACATTTCACTATGCTGAGCGAAGCATAATATACACTGTAGTATATCACCATGACAAGTCTCCCATTTGATACGACCCAGTAACTTTACCAGACTTGAAATACACTTTACAACAGAAACAGAACTTGTGGTGCTGTAATGATATAAACAACATATTATATGATATAGACGTTAGTTAATATCATGTCCCAAGATATCTTTATTAAATACATTAATTCTAAAAAGTTTCAGAGGTGGTCATTTTCTTATTTTTTTGTGAAGTCCCTGTAATTATTATCAATTGCCAATTGACTATTGGTTTATTCATTGATACAAAAATTGACTTTAGAACTATAGAAGTCTGTCAATATATAACTCTAGGGCCATGATGGCCCTAGATCGCTCACCTGACTTATCAAACTCATCCAAACAATTACATAGACAAGCATTCTGACCAAGTCTCATGACAGGTGAGTCAAAAATGTGACCACTACAGTGTTAACAAGGATTATCCATATTTGAGCAGTGCGACCTAGTTTTTTACCCAGGTGACACATATTCAAACTTGACCTAGAAATCATCAAAACAAACTTTCAGACCAATTTCCAGGATACTTGGATCAAAGCAGTAGCAACTAGAGTGTTAACAAGATTTTTCTATTTTTAGCTGAGGTGACCTAGTTTCACATGCGATTTCGAACTCATCCAAGCAATTACCTAGACAAGCATCCTGACCAGGTTTGATGATAATTGAGTCAAAAATGTGACCACTAGAATGTTAACAAGGTTTTTCCATATTTTGGCAGTGTGACCTAGTTTTTCATCCAAGATGACCCATGTTCGATTTTGACTTAGAAATCATCAAAACAAACTTTCAGACCAATTAACAGAATATTTAACACAGTAGCCACTAGAGTGTTAACAAGATTTTTCTATTTTTAGCTCCTGTGACCCAGTTTTTCATCTAAAAAGGACCCCCGAGTTTCAAAATGATATCAAAAATTAAAATACGGAGAGAAAACCCAGCAAATTCCCTAATAGTGACACATATAAAGAGACACATATATAAAATTCTAAAATTGGCTAAATGCCATTACCTGTTCAATGATGATGAAACAATTCCGCATATTTCCTTACAGGTCTTCTTAGCCAGTTCTTCATTCTAGAATATATTTGACACATTATGTTTACATGTATAATACAAGTACATACCTGACATATGTCATAGCACATAGAAATAAATGTTGTGTGACAAACAAATATAAGATACAATACCAAACTTTGACTTTTTTTTCTGACCTCGACACTTTAACAAAGGCATAGACAAAACCCCAAATTACATCAAGAAAATTAATAAATAATCTTTGACCTTGAAGTAAAACCTTAGAACTACTGACTATACATGTATATACAATGTAAATCTATAAATTTGCTCTAAATACTAAATACATTGTATAATGTAACAATCATTCAGAAGTTAAAAAACAAGACATTTCAAATAATTAGCAACATGCAAATTTATCTATTTTAACTTACTGTTTCCCAGTAGAGAGAGCAGCACAAGTCTGGTATTTTCTCAAGCAGGGAACCATACATCTTCATCCTCAGTCTTGATGGTTTAGGAAACAGTGGCTGAAATTATACCAGATACATTAACGTCGTAGAGTGTTAGATAAAAACTTGCATGTAAAACCAGTCTATACAGTTTAGTCAGACTGGCCCTTCTTTGTGCTGAATTTTAATATTTTGATAAAACTCGGCTAACAAGGCCATTTGGCACAATAACATGAGTTTTCCCTATCTAATCCCAGGGTACAAACAAACTTTAACCAATATAACTTCATGGCACACTTTTTATTAAGATATTTACCAAGTTGTAACAGTAAGTTTGTTTGTTCCATATGGCTAGATGGGAAAATCACATTTGCCAAGTTACACAGTGTCTTTATTAAAATTTCATTACATATATTCTGGAAGAGAAGAGTTAAACTTACATTTAGTAAGCTACTTTTACCATTCTCAATTGTAAACTTCTTTTCTATCTAAAACTGACTTGATGTAATACTGTGTAAGTCACAGACAGTAGACACAAATTGAAAAAGTTAATGGGAGCAAATTGAGAAATTCCTGTCAATATTTTTCTTAAATAATAAGATTTTAACTTACTTCCATTTCACTGCCCTCATCTAAAACAGCAAGCTGTTGCCATGACAACTCCTGGGCAATATTTAGGTCACATGACCTTGACACTGTTCCTAGCTCTATCACAAACTTGTTTCGTCCTGCGTATCTGGCTGGTTCCTTTCCCTTTACAACAGCATTCAGTACACGAAGGTCAAAGTTCACATAATGGGTCAGGTCCCATAACACATTACCAACAGTTTCCGACCATTCTTCATCTAAAATAGATGTATTAATAGTTAAGAGGCATTTAAAATCACTGGCCATTTCTGTGTCAACTTTTACTGGCACTCTGCCATACATCACTTCAATATGCATACTACAACCACAAGGCAATCTCTTCCTGTTAAACAGAACTTACTGAATCTATTTAAAGAACTTTTTTTGCTTGATTCAGCCATCTACTGTACATATATTAACTGACAGATGTATTTAGTACTATTCAATTATTTTCAGAAAACACAAAATTTCACATTATTTATGTCAATAAGAAATCAAAAATGAAAGAGCAAGAACAATAAATGTACAACCGATTGAACTGAAAACAGGACAATGGTCGCATAAACTTTTAAATAGAAGTTAACACTTGAAATATGGTCAAAGTCATATATAACTAGACTAGAAGAAATAATTCGTTATCAATTAAGTACTACACAACCAGATGCTCTATGATCAACAACTCTAATGCTGTAATGTTTGAATAAATCAAACCACTTACCTACAGGTTTGATACCATACAGTTTACATTCTATAGCTTGTAGCGGTAGTTCATAAAATTTATCCACCGGTAATTCCCGCACCTTATCTTTCGGTACAATGTCACTGTCACCGTAATCAGCGAAGAATACCTTGAACTGATTGGCCTCAACCTCAAGGATTTGTCCACGATACCATCTGAAAATTTAAATCTAACCATGCTAAATTTGTGAAATAGACTATTCCTGTTTTGAAAATGGACCTATCCACTGCCAATATGGAGGGTTTTGTTTATACAGTTATCAACATGTTATAGAAAAAAAACAAGCAATTATCATAGTATTACAAGCAATAAGTTTCCCTGCCTAGAAAAGAAATTATGTTTATATAACAGATTATCAAAAGATCCAATTTCCTCAGGATGAATATGTATAAAAAAGTTAAAGAATGAGTGAGAGAAATTCAAAGTTTGAGGAGGAGAAAATTCTGGAAATATGGACGCTAGAATAATAACCCTTGTCATATTATTATCATGTGGGTGTTTGAAGTAAATGCTCTAAGAAATGAGGTTTAAGTAAAAAATAATAATTTGTAGTTCAAGGGGGACATAATTCTTGAAATAGTTAAGCTAGAGTATTGAACCTTTTCCCAAATGACTTGAGTGTTAATAAGACACATATATATAAAATTTGAAGTAGATACAATACAATATAAAGAAAAAAAAGTCATCATTTTGTTCATGAAAATTCTATGTTCATGGGGGGGGTAATTCTGATAACTTTTGTGCTAGAGATGTAAACCTTGTCACATATGATGTGGTTGATGATCAGAAACATATATTTGAAGTTTGAAGTAAATACCTTAAAAAATAAAGAACTTATAGTGAAAAAGTGTTAAAACTTGAACCATAAACTTGACAAGGTTGTTGACGCTTGGTGAAATATACTGCCTATAGTAAAGATTAAAACAAGAGCTGTCACAGGAGACAGCGAAGCTCGACTAATAAAATACTGGACACAGTAAGGAGGACAAAACTATGAAAGAAAAATCAATTATGTTTTGTTTGTTTTGGGTTTTACGTCACATCGACACAGTATAGGTCATATCGCGACGTTCCAGCTTTACTGGTGGAGGAAGACCTCAGGTGCCCTTCCGTGCATTATTTCAGGCACGAACGGGCACCTGAGTAGAACCACCGACGTTCCGTAAAAATCAATTATGTATAATTATGTATTAAGTTATAGAAAAAAAATAACATTTGTTAACATTAATTCCAAGATCAAGGGGAATAATTCTAGAAATAGTCATGCTAGAGTTATGGACCTTGTCACACAACATTTGTGTAATGATAAGAAATATATATTTGAAGTTTGAAGTAGATACCTTAAAAAGTAAAGAAGTTATTATATTTCTTAAAGAAAATCCTAAGTTCAAGGACAGATAAATCTGTAAATATTGCTTCAAGAGTTATGAACATTGTCACATAAAATGTAATTGATGATAAGGAATAAGTATTTGAAGTTTGAGGTAGATACCTTTAAAAATAAAAAAGTTATAATAAAAAATAACATTCTATAACATCTAGTAGAAAAATCTAAGTTTATGGAGAGATAATTCTTGCAATATTGGTGCTAGAGTTATGAACCATGTCACATAAGATGTGGATGATGATAACGTAAATATATTTGAAGTAGGAAGTTGATCCCTTTAGAAATAAATAAGTAACAGTAAAAAACAAGCAATTATCATAGTATTGCAAGCAATCCATAAGTCCCCTACCGGTTAGAACCCCATCAACATTCTGAAGGGCATTGGCCATTCACTTATGTTTCAATTTTTCTCTATTTTAAGTAAACTTGTTGGAAAAGTTCTTTAAAAGTGATCACAGGAAACAGTTTTTATGAACAGACAGACAGACGGACTGAAGGACACTCTAAAGTTAATATTTGAAACATCCCTGTTACCAAAATATAACATTTTAAAAGCAAAATTCTTAAATAGGAGATAACTCTTGACTTAAAGATGCAATTTCATAAAATTTTCAGCCCTTTTTGACTTATCACAAATATTGTTATATTTCCCATGTTTTAAGCCTATTTGTTGCCAAGGCAACTGATATTTTTTCAAAAAAGGAAGAACAGATAAGACATGCATAATATCAAGACTGCTATCTACCCATATGTCAAGTTTCATAAAAATATTTCCAGTACTTTTTGAGTTATCACTGGATTCAGTTTATGTGTAAAATTTGCCATATTTTCAGTATATGTGTTGCCATAGCAACCAGAATTTTCAACAGAGGAAGAACATAAAAAGACGTGCATAATCTCAAGACTGCCATCTACCCATATGTCAAGTTTCATAAAAATATTTCCAGTACTTTTTGCTTTATCACGGGATCCAGTTTATGTGTAAAATTTGCCATATTTTCAGCCTATTTGTTGCCATAGCAACCAGAATTTTCAACATAGGAAGAAAAGAAAAAGACATGCATAATTTCCAGACTACCATCTACCCATATGTCAAGTTTCATAAAAATATTTCCAGTACTTTTTGCGTTATCACTGGATCCAGTTTATGTGTAAAATTTGCCATATTTTAGCCTATTTGTTGCCATAGCAACCGGAATTTTCAACATAGGAAGAAAAGAAAAAGACGTGCATAATTTCAAGACTGCCATCTACCCATATGTCAAGTTTCATAAAAATATTTCCAGTACTTTTTGCGTTATCACTGGATCCAGTTTATGTGTAAAATTTGCCATATTTTTAGCCTATTTGTTGCCATAGCAACCAGAATTTTCAACATAGGAAGAAAAGAAAAAGACGTGCATAATCTCCATACTGTCATCTATCCATATACCAAGTTTCATAAAACTATTTTCAGTACTTTTCAAGTTATCGCGGGATCCAGTTTTGTGGACGGACGGACTGACAGACGGACGGACGGACAGACGGACGGACAGACGGACGGAGGGTAAACCTAAAGTCCCCTCCGGTAAACCGGTAGGGGACTAATAATATTTTTTATGGAAAATTCTAAGTTCAAAGGGAGATAAATCTAAAAATATTGGTGCTAGAGTTATGAACCTTGTCACATAAGATGGGGATGATGATAACGTAAATATATTTGAAGTATGAGGTTGATCCCTTAAGAAATAAAGAAGAAACAGTAAGAAATAGTATTTTTTGAGGAAAATTCTAAGTTCAAGGGGAGATAAATCTGAAAATATTGGTGCTAGAGTTATGAACTTCGTCACATAAAATGGGGATGATGATAAGGTACATATATTTGAAGTATGAGGTTGATCCCTTAAGAAATAAAGAAGTAACAGTAAAAAATAGTATTTTTTAAGGAAAATTCTAAGTTAAGGGGAGATAAATCTGAAAATATTGGTGCTAGAGTTATGAACCTTGTCACATAAGATGTGGTTGATGATAAGGAACATATATTTGAAGTTTGAAGTTGATACCTTAAGAAATGACAAAGTTATAGTGAAAAATATTTTACTGTACCAAAACTTTAATCTAAAATCTGGACGCGGACGCCGACGCCGGGGCGAGTAGGACAGCTCTCCATATACTTCGTATAGTCGAGCTAATGATGTGTATAATCTCCATACTGCCATCTATCCATATTTTAAGTTCAATGAAAATGTTTTCACTACTTTTAAGTAATCACAAATATTGTTATATTTGCCGTGTTTTAAGCGTATTTGTAGCCATAGCAACCAAATTTCAAGTTTCATAAAAATATTTCCAGCACTTTTTCCAGTTTATGTGTTTTCAGTCTATATGTTGCCATATTTACCAGTTTTCAACATAGGAAAAGAAAAAGACGTGCATAAATACCAAACCGCAGGCAAATCTAAAATCCCCTCCGGTTAAACCAGTAGGGGACTAATAAGAGCTTGTCACAAAACAGCAGCCACCTACAAGTATAATATTGTCTGATCCCCAACCCTCTACATAATTATGGAAAATGATTTTAAAGAATTTGTCTAAGATTTTTTTTGAGTTGGCAGAACAAGAACTGCCACTATCATGGCGTGAATACCCCCGCATAAAGGTCCCTGTGACCTTGACCTTTGACCTCAAAATCAATACGGATCATTTACTAATCATGACTAACCTCCATGCCAAATATGAAGACTGTGGGTCAAAGGAATCTTAAGTTATTGGGCGGACAAGCTTTTTGAAGGCAAGGCCCCTGTGACCTTGACCTTTGACCTGGTGACCTCAAAATCAATAGGGGTCAACTACTAATCATGACTTACCTCCATGCCAAATATGAAGACTGTGGGTCAAAGGAATCTTAAGTTATTGGGCGGACAAGCTTTTTGAAGGCAAGGCCCCTGTTGCCTTGACCTTTGGCCTGGTGACCTCAAAATCGATAGGGGTCATCTACTAATCATGACTAACCTCCATGCCAAATATGAAGACTGTGGGTCATAGGAATCTTGAGTTATTGGGCGGACAAGCTTTTTGAAGTCAAGGTCCCTGTGACCTTGACCTTTGACCCGGTGACCTCAAAATCGATAGGGGTCATCTGCTAATCACGACTAACCTCCATGCCAAATATGAAGACTGTGGGTCATAGTAATCTTAAGTTATTGGGCGGAAAAGCTTTTTGATGTCAAGGCCCCTGCGACTTTGACCTGGTGACCTCAAAATCAAAAGGGGTCATCTACTTATCATGACTAACCTCCATGCCAAATATGAAGACTGTGGGTTAAAGGAATCTTAAGTTATTGGGCGGACAAGCTTTTTGAAGTCAAGGCCCCTGTGACCTTTGACCTGGTGACCTCAAAATCAATAGGGGTCATCTACTAATCACGACTAACCTCCATGCCAAATATGAAGACTGTCGGTCAAAGGAATCTTTAGTTATTGGGCGGACAAGAAAAAACCGCCGGACGCCGGACGGCCGGATGGACAATCTGATTCCAGTATACCCCCCTTACAACTTTGTTGTGCGGGGGTATAACTAGGAAGAATTCATGCCCCTGTGTAATTTTAAGAAAATTTACATTAATTTGGAAATAATAATAATAATAATATTTTAACAGGATCTCACTTTTGCATCCATTTTCATGGTTAATACTATATCAATCCTGCTATCATAGCAACCACATTTCTTGAACAAATTATAGTAAGTACAATATCTCAATACAGTCCCCTATAATACAAGGACCAAATTTCATCAACTTAACTTTTGTACTGTTTGAGCTACAACAGGAGCCAGATTTGTTCTGTTGTTTTTTGGTGTGTATAACCTCTATATCATCACCTTATTGCAGAAACGACTTAACTCCTTATATAATTTAACATAAATTAACCAGTTACTGCACTAAGGTGACGATATTGTCCTTTATATAAGTACCAAGTATTTTGGGGGTTTTATACTTTTTTGTGTTATGGCAAGACCCACATTTACTACCGCTATGTAATGCTAAAACATTTTTTGTTGATCTGGAAGAGCAACAATGAGACCAGTTGAGCAAACCAATGGGCTGTTAACTGTATCTGTAAGCATTCCCTTACACAAATAACTTACATGTCAACCTACCATTTAAACAGATGTAATAAATCTGAAATTCTTTATACACTTATATCAAAATATGATGATGTAAAATTTTATTAAGATGTAAAATTTTATTAAGTAATCCAAATCACAATAGAAGAGTGCAAAGAAGAGTTTTAATGACAGACAAACACATTTTACGTCACTGTGCTATGAAAAGCATACCTGTGAGATTTCTATGCTGTTATACAAATAAAACACTTGTTATAGATTGAACCTGGGAAAATAGCTTTTAATTTAATTGTCAGAAATAAAGTAAATCCCAGCCAAATTATTTGTACTTGCATACTTTATATACTTTTTTGTAATTATTTAGAAGTTAATTAAAAAGTTACACATTTTTTTTACACTTACTGAAATCTTTATTGACCTAATATTAGTAACTTTTTGATAATTTGAGACCAGCAACATCATTGCATACAGCCCTTTGATTTTTTTTTTAGAAACAAAACATGAAACGTGCTCTGCCTAGATAGACCTGCTCAATCTTTGACTTTAGAGTATACCATACCTTTGATCAAAGTTTGTGTACTGTGCGAGACAGTATTTGCCGCGTGTAAGTTCCTGCCCTATATCAACATAAATATCATTCTGGTCCACAAACTCATTGATTTCTGTCATTAACTCTTCTAGCCTAAAATACAAAAGATATAACAACACATGTAATTTAATAATAGTAAATAAAATATTAGATATACTAGGAATGAGAATTATACACTTTTATATCTTATTAATCTAAAACTTTGTTGCACTAAAAGTAATCATTAGAATTAAACTTAATAAGAGTGTACATGAAGCTTTTTTGTTTATTGACAGTTGCAGAAGTACAAGGACCCATTTTTAGACCAAGCCCGCAGAAAAGAGAAATTCAATTAAGTTTGAGGGATTCTGTTGATGTTTATGCACAAAAAAGTGCAGAAGCGCTGTTCTTGCATAGAATATGCCTAGTTTTGTAATTTTATGTATCCCTTTTCGTATATCAAGACTCGTTTTAGAAAACTTTAGACATGCAAGTGTTTTGTCATTTGACAGTTTCGGTTTTATATCAGACATAATGAAATGTCTTACTTTTACAGATGGTGACCTCTCAACCTACAAAAACATTGCGTAAGACTGCTTTTACTTTTTCAAAATAAGGAATAACAAGAAACATGGCAATGCCATGAAACCAGGTTTTCAATTATCATCATTGTAGATAAATATGTTGTATTTGAAATACAAATACAAGCAACAAACAATGTAACTATGTGCAATGTAAAACATGAACAAGATATGTTTGTAAAACATGTATGCCCCCATCAGCAGCCAATTATTCATGTGATAAGGTAATTATGCATGACTTCTGACCCAGTGATCAAACAATTAATAAGGGTTATCAAGTATCTACTGGTCATGACCTTGACCTTTGACCCCTTGACCCAAAACTCAATAGGGGTCATCTGCTGGTCAAGACCAATCATCATACAAAGTTTGAAGTTCCTAGGCCTAAGCGTTTTTAGTTAATTAATCAGAAACTGTTTTTACCTACAAGGTCAATGTGACCTTGACCTTTGACCCCAAAATCAATAGGGGTCATTTGCTGGTCATGACTAATCACCATGCCAAGTTTGAAGTTCCTAGGCCTAAGGGTTCTTTTATTATTGATCCGAAACCGTTTTAACATACAAGGTCAATGTGACCTTGACCTTTGACCCCAAAATCAATAGGGGTCATCTGCTGGTCATGACCAATCACTATGCCAAGTTTGAAGTTCCTAGGCCGAAGCGTTCTTTAGTTATTGATCAGAAACCGTTTTTACTTACAAGGTCAATGTGACCTTGACCTTTGACCCCTTGATCCCAAAATCAATAGGGGTAATCTGCTGGTCATGAAAAATCACCATACCAAGTTTGAAGTTCCCAAGCCTAAGCGTTCTTAAGTTATTGATCATTGTTTGTTTGTTTGTTTGTTTCTGTCATTTTACGCCTTTTTCCAACAGTATTTCAGTCATATAGGCGGGTTGTTTCCTAACCATCGTTCCTGGAGAGTTACACCAGTACTTGACTACCTTCCTCCGCGCTAAACTACCAAAGCATCTCCCGGGGATCGAACCCACGCCAGAGAGGTAACTGGATTAGAAGTCATCGACTCTAACCACTCGACCAGAAACCGTTTTTACTTACAAGGTCAATGTGACTTTGACCTTTGACCCCTTGACCCAAAACTCAATAGGGATAATCTGCTGGTCACCACCAATCATCATACAAAGTTTGAAGTTCCTAGGCCTAAGCGTTTTTAGTTAATTGATCGGAAACCGTTTTACCTACAAGGTCAATGTTACCTTGACCTTTGACCCCTTGACCCCAAAAACAATAGGTCATCTGCTGGTCATGACCAATCACCATACCAAGTTTGAAGTTCCTAAGCCTAAGGGTTCTTAAGTTATTGATCGGAAAGCATTTTTACCTACAAGGTCAATGTGACCTTGCCCTTTGACCCCTTAACCCCAAAATCAATAGGGGTCATCTGCTGGTCATGACCAATCACCATACCAAGTTTGAAGTTCCTAGGCCTAAGGGTTCTATAGTTATTGATCGGAAACTGTTTTTACCTAAGAGGTCAATGTGACCTTGACCTTTGACCCCTTGACCCCAAAATCAATAGGGGTCATCTACTGATCATGACCAATCACCATATCAAGTTTGAAATCCCTAGGCCTAAGGGTTCATTCGTTATTGATCGGAAACCGTTTTTACCTACAAGGTCAATGTGACCTTGACCTTTGACCCCTTAACCCCAAAATCAATAGGGGTCATCTGCTGGTCATAACCAATCACCACACCAAGTTTGAAGTTCCTAGGCCTAAGGGTTCTTTCGTTATTGATCGGAAACCGTTTTTACCCAAGAGGTCAATGTGACCTTGACCTTTGACCCCTTGACCCCAAAATCAATAGGGGTCATCTACTGATCACGACCAATCACCATACCAAGTTTGAAGTTCCTAGGCCTTAAGGTTCTTTAGTTATTGATCGGAAACCTTTTTTGCTTACAAGGTCAATGTGACCTTGACCTTTGACCCATTGACCCCAAAATCAATAGGGGTCATCTACTTGTCATGACCAATCACCATACCAAGTTTGAAGTTCCTAGGCCTAAGGGTTCTTTAGTTATCACTCGGAAACCATTTGGTCTACGGACCGACGGACCGACAGACCGACGGACCGACAAGTGCAAAGCAATATACCCCCTTTTCTTCGAAATGGGGGCATAATAATGTAGGAGGAATTGCCACAGAGGAAGTGTTCACTATAATTATATTCTATATAATTCAATCACAAAACCCCGATAATGTGCGCCAGGGAACTGGATGACAAAGCTACTGTGAAAGTTTGAACAAAATCCGTTGAGAAATGTAGGAGTTCAGCACAGAAAATTTTTTTCACTATATATTCTGTATAAGGAAAAATAACAAAGGGCCATAATTAGGTCAAATATTATCCAATCACAAAACCCCGATAATGTGCGCCAGGGCACTTGATGACAAAGCCTCTGTGAAAGTTTGGTCAAAATCTGTTGAGAAATGTAGGAGAAGTTGCGCATAGTAAAAATTGTTCACTATATAATCTGTATAAGGAAAAAAAACAAAGGGCCATAATTAGGTCAAATATTATCCAATCACAAAACCCCGATAATGTGCGCCAGGGCATTTGATAACAAAGCTTCTGTGAAAGTTTGGTCAAAATCTGTTGAGAAATGTAGGAGAAGTTGCCCATGGTAAAAACTGTTCACTATATAATCTATATAAGGAAAAAAACAAAGGGCCATAATTAGGTCAAATATTATACAATCACAATATGCCCTAAGGCACTTGATGACAAAGCCTCTGTGAAAGTTTGGTCAAATTCCGTTGAGAAATGTAGGAGGAGTAGCGCACAGAAAATTGTTCACTATATATTCATATTGGGAAAAAAAACAAAGGGCCATAATTAGGTCAAATATTATCCAATCACAAAACCCTGACAATATGCCCTAAGGCACTTGATGACAAAGCCTCTGTGAAAGTTTGGTCAAATTCCGTTGAGAAATGTAGGAGGAGTTGCGCACAGAAAATTGTTCACTATATATCCTATATTGGGAAAAAAAACAAAGGGCCATAATTAGGTCAAATATTATCCAATCACAAAACCCTGACAATATGCGCCAGGGCACTTGATGACAAAGCCTCTGTGAAAGTTTGGTCAAAATCCATGGAGAACTGTAGGAACAGTTGGACGCAAAAGAAATTATTCACTATATATTCTATATAAGGAAAAAAAACAAAGGGCCATAATTAGGTCAAATATTATCCAATCACAAAACCCCGACAATATGCGCCAGGTCACTTGATGACAAAGCTTCTGTGAAAGTTTGGTCAAAATCCGTTGAAAAATGTAGGAGGAGTTGCGCACAGAAGAAATTGTTAACGCCCGCCCGCCGACATACCTCAATCTAATAACCAGTTTTTTCCTTCGGAAAACCTGGTTAAAAACCTATTATTTTCTACTATAGAACCTTTCCCTACTAATTTAATACATAAGACTTGCCATGCTGTGATTTATGAAATGTTCATAAACCTTTTCACTGCCAATAAGATAGATATACTCCTCCTACACCTAAATACCCTACCCTACCCACCTACCTACAATTATGTCAAACCCATTGTGGTGATGTAGACATGTATCTTTGGGACAAGATAAATGATTATACTGGTATAGTATAAGTATATCAAGTTAAACAGACTTACTCTTCCAGTTTTTCTTTACGCTGGACAAAGAAGAGATCAGGAGAGAGGACGGAAGATACATGTATGTCATGACTTGTTCTTGTGGCACATGCTGGCAGTACATCTGTGTCCAGTATAGCGCTCATTCTGAAATGATGACATATTAAAGGTTCACCGCAAAACTGCAGTAACTTATATAAAATAAAGAAGGACTTACAACAGTTTTGAGGTTAACCCTTGATATTTCAGATTTGATTTCGGATTTGAATCACTCAGCCACACCACCACTAACACATTTCAGAATTTGACTTTGTATTTTATTTCCATCTATTTTAATCACAGTCATTTCATCAAATCTGATGATCCATGTGAGATGATTTAGGACATTTAACATTTGATATATGTACACAGACTAACACAGCCCAATTTATAAAGTCAAAAGAAAATCAAAGATACAGATATTACTTTCATACCATTCTTGGAAACTTCATTCCTTGAAACATTACATAATGTTACTATACAGTATTTCATTTCATGAAAATGTTACATTTTAGTTTATTTACAGACACTTACTTGGTTTTCCTGAGCAGAGCTTTAGGTATATTAATCTTTCCTTCACATAACTTGTACAACTTTTGTAGATGCTGACAGATACAAAAGATCAACAAAAGTTCAAGAACAAAGCATAATTTTTAAACAAAAGATATTCTGATACTGGCAGTCAGGCATAAATAGATCTTACAAGAAGTTACTGTATATAATTATGGACCTACGAGAATTAACTGTCTAGTTTTATCAACTTATAAGAACTTACTGTATATCTTATTAACTTACAAGAATTTACCATTTATTTCCATATAGTTTATAGAATTTAAGAATTTACTGTAGATCTATGTAAAAAATATTTTTCATTTCATTTTTTTTTCAATGCAAATATAAATATATAAATGAATTCTCAGAGATATTAATTGACATTTACTGTAGAAAATGATATAAGAATATGCTATATTATTCTTACATTTTTATTTTCATTTGCAAAGCCATTTCTGATAAGTTCTTCATGTACGTAGAACAGATGTGACACAGCCTGTGTTATAGGTAGGTATTTACGTGACAGTAGTGGATCTAGCCACAGAATGTAGCCTATACGTAACAATACACTGCCTACCAACTCCTTCCCTATCAATGCTTCACTGATAAACATATTTGCCTGAAATATGTACATATATTCACATCTATAATAATATTTTTACATCTATAATAATATGTTTACATCTATAACAAGTGCGTAATATTTTCATATCTGAATTCTGTTTTATCACAAAAATGTACTTAGCATTGCTATTAAATATCTGCATCCTAATTTTGAATAAATTGTTCCATATCTAAAACATTTCAAATTAGTTTCATAATAATTTTATTACATCTTCAGGATAAGCTTAATTTTTAAATGCAAAGTTTAGCCTGACTTTTTCAAAGTGACCTTAACAATCATGGTCAAACTATAGGATGTTAAATATATGGTCAAAATGGTGACTTTCTGCATTAGCTGTTTGTCTTTTTTTTTTTGGACATAATTCTAAGGTTATAGAAATACATACCTTGTTAGTCCATTCAATATCTTTATCAACAGGTCTCACTTTACAAACAAACACCTCAACAGCCTAAAATATTCATTTAGACAGGAATTTATACGTTTTATCACAATATTATCACTTATGTATACAAAGTTTTAGCCATTTATTTTACATGTAATTTAAGATATCATAAAAACAATTTCAAAAACAAATTATTACTATTTTAGTTACCATAGCAACCATAATTTTTAATCAAGTTAAAAAAGCCAAATCTATTAACAGTCACACAGACTAACTTATTGCCAGAAGTACATATGGACAGACTGAACACAAACCTAGAGTCTCAACTCTAATTCTTCAATTATTTAGGACTTATTTACTGTACATACCTGGAATGGGAGGTTCCGCAGATCTTTGGGTAACACATACAACTTATAAGCAGGTATTTTCTCCATTCTTCCACTGTCTACAAATTTCACCTTTAACAAAAGAAATATTGCTATACATTTATCCTGATTTATCAAGGAAAAGCATCACAAGCTGCCAGTTGGGCTCAACTATTCTAAGTCACAATGCAAGAATTTTCTCAAAATTCATGAAAGGGAAATAATTCAGTAAACAAGAAATGTGTCCATAGGCCATTGATGTCCCATATTTTACTGTTTTGTCAATCTATGGACGGACAGCGTGACAGACGATGGACAAGGGCAACTCTATATCCCCATCCTTGTGTGGGTACATAAAAACCATAATAAAGCTATATGACTTGAAATGTAAAATACAATTGTGTTGATCAATCTTGCATGGCAAACCTTAACCAAAATATAAGTTCACCATGGGGTATTATTCAGTCAAAATAAATTCTAGAGCTATGGTTATTGAACTGTAACCTGTGCACTGTAATCATAAATATATGTGTTACTTTTTAAGTGAATAGTATCAATGATAACTGAGATATGAACATATACACAAAACAGTAACCAAGTTTTACACAATGGTGACACCAATGAGTAAGATTTCATTTATTCTTCACTTCAACTAATGGGAGAAAAATAATAACACTAGATGTCTTATATCAAAACTACTTTTTCATGACACACATATTTAAGTTTACTTATTGACAACATTATACATCTTATTTCATTTCACAAGTGGACATTCATCATCAGATCACCATATATTCATGAACATAAACCTAGCAAAAGTGTCAATGTAATATACAACTACTTCAAAACTAAGTCTAGCAACAGTATGCAATGTATATGTCAATATAAAAATATACTGACCCAAGCTTTTATCACAGGAACTGCCTCATGTTCTAATTCTTTATGTACATCAAATATCTGTACTCTAGGTAAAAAAAAACAGTAACCTTGTCACGCAAAAGGTGAATGAGAGAGACATTTGTTAAAACCCACACTTGCAGGAACTTCAGTAAATTACTGTTATATCAATTCATTTTCACTGATTAATAAATTCAGCTTCACGGTATATAAATTCAGTGTAACTTATTTATGAATCAAGTTTCATTGGTATAGAAATTAAGATTATCTGATATATAAATTAAACATCACTGATATAACTTCAACTTATCTGATTTATAAATTCAACTTCAGTGGTATATCAATTCAGATTATATAAATGAAACATTACTGATATATAATTTTAGCTTCGCTTGTACATAAATTCATCTTTACTTGTGTATAAATTCAGCTTCATACATAAATTTTTTGTCACTGATACATAAATTCTGCTTTATTGGTATATAAACTAGTGAATTTCACTCAAATATGAATGGATATATTATACAGCTTAAATTCAATTTAACTCTACTGGTATGTAAGAGGATAATAAAATCCAACACGTGTCTTGTGTTATAGGCAGATCATAAAATTTGGCATAACCATAGAAGTATAGCTTTTACCTGTAAAACACTTCATTTTCCTCATACCCACACACCTCGCCTATAGTGTATCCAGATTCTTCAGTAATATTTGGTGCTAAAAATATCACAATACAAGAATACAAATATATCGTCCAGTACTACGCTTCAATATACATGATGAAAATTTGGGAATGATATTTGTCATTTTCATTATTTAGTCATTCACAAATAAATAACTTAACTGATTAATCTATATGTATATCAAATATATCATCTAAATATGGAATTCGCTATTCAGTCAGTACATATTTAAATTTCCCTAAAAATGAAGGGTTAAATTATATACTTTTCATACTAGTCATATTCTTCCCTTCACAGTGCAAATTAAAAATAACGGCAGTAAAATTTACATGAACCACTGAGACAAGGTTCTTTTTAATACAGACTTTTTAACAGTGTGACATCATAAGTTTCTTCCTCCCTGAAAAATGTGACTACCTGATATACTGTTTTGAACCCTTAACCTGTTGAATTGTTAAATGGATTTGCCCTCCTTTGAATTTTGAACAGGGTGCTAAACTATTCTCAGTGCTTGACAGTAACAAAAGGGGCATAACACTGTTTAAAGGTAAGTCAAGGTCCAGAGTTATGGAAAATGTGTCTATCATATTAGATAATCACGGAAAACAAGCACGTGAAGTTTCAACCAATTCTCTTAAGCAGTTTTGGAGATACCAACTTGCAAGCAAAAACTTAACCTAATTGTGACGACTAAGGCTGGTCTAGACCAATAAATCTCTCTATTCTTTGAATATTTGAACTAAAAATTGAGCGACCAAAAGTAATAACTTTTAGCTACAGTAGGTAAAGGGTTAAGTATAATTCTAAATATCTCACCATATCTTTTCTTGTGTTTAAGATTACTGTACCACATGGATAACTCCATCTGCATCTTTGTAAACTTCAATGACAGATCCTCATATACAGTTTTCCCATCACGCTTTACTGCCAACAGACGTACATAAAAATGGCTGGCATCCACTACATGTGTCACTAACACCTTTAATAAGAAACACAAACTGTAATAAACAGCAATCTCCAGACATTTATAAAATTGAACACACTTATTTCAATGTCAGTTGACTTCTGATTTTTTCAATGATGGCCTACATAATTATTATACAAATAAATTGTTTAACATTAGTTTATTAATAGTGGCCACCGGAAAAATGTCTGAATAGTTATGGATAGTTACTTTTATGCTCATGGAAAATGATAGAGAAATTTCACTATTCAGGAAGCAGCCATCAAGGTATAAAGCACCATTACATGGTTCAATGTACGTCCAAAACCTTTCAAGTATCAAGTAAAGTAACCTTGACTTCGCCTTCATTTGGCAGCCAGTCAGATTCGGGCATGTTGTCAGATTCTGGAATAACCCTGTGTCTACAGCTACATCGTGTTGTATCTCTAAAACAGAATATAAAATGTGTTTACAAATGGGTAAATAAAATTATATTACTTTTTTCAGAGCTTAATTAAAGGACTAATCATTCTGAACCCTGATAAATTGGTAAATTGGTCAGTATTTTGTATTACCTACATTTAGTATATTATTGTCATGTGAGAGTGTGCTTCTCAACATAATATGTCTAACCTGCATGTTCCAAAAGCCAGTGTCTGTGTACATAGCTCCCTATCTTCATCTTCTTCTCTTTGCTTAAATATGTAATAACAAATATGAGCTTTATTCTTGAGCTACAAATTTGACAAGCTGTTTAACTGCTGCTGTCATTTCAGCCAAGTTAAATCAGAAGGGTAAAAAAACCAGAAAAACTAAATTGCAGCACTGTTTGGCTATATATATTAAGTATGACCATCACCTTAAACTACCAATTATTTTTTTAGTGTGAAACATCATTTCACTACGGCAAACATTTGTGCCAATTTGTGGAATTACTCAATGAATATGCAAGTTTCTGCTCAGACAATCAAAACCGCATTAATTTGACTTTGAAGTGTGATTTTTATCTTTGAGTAACTAATTAAGGCATATAATTTTATTGACATTAACATTTGAGCCGCGTCATGACAAAACCAACATAATGGGTTTGCGACCAGCATGGATCCAGACCAGCCTGCGCGTCTGCGCAGTCTGATCAGGATCCATGCTATTCGCTATCAGTTTCTCTACTTGGTATAGGGTTTGTAAGCGAACAGGATGGATCCTGATCAGACTGCGCGGATGCGCAGGCTGGTCTGGATCCATGCTGGTCACAAACACATTAAGTTGGTTTTGTCGTGATGCGGCTCATTTCTATAAAGTAATTTAAGACTTACAGTCCCACTACCCATAGCTATGTTCAAACCCTGACAAACTTAGATGGATTATTTTGCATGCAAGCCATTAACATGTATAAAGAAATGCATATAACCTTTATTGTGACAGCAAGGTCCAGCTTACTACAAGAAGGTAGACAACAAGAGCACCAAATGCCGTGTTAAAAAGGGGCACAACTTAAAAAAAAAATAGCTTTCAGAATTATGCCCCTGGTATTACAACTGTGCCATACTGCACCTTATCAAGACAAACAAATGTTCCCATATTCATGTTGATAAGTTTTAAAATATTTGAATAAGAGGCAAAATTACAGTTTTTGCACAACAAAAATGATGCCACAGCATTGAAACAGACAAGCTAAAATGTGAAAATGTTTAACTTTTAAAAAGCATAACAAAACATAAATATTAAAACACACTGAATACACTGATAAATATTTTTTGTTCAAACAGTTTTTTCAGATTTTTTTTAGAATTTAAAGCAAGACTTTTTTTTGGAAAAGTATTCTGAGCAATAAATACTAATTAATTCAGTGGATAACTCACCTCTAATAGCCCAGCCATAAATTGTTTCAGCTCAGCTGGTCGTTCACAGTCTAATCTCACTAGTAAATCATTTAAACTTCTTAACTGTCTATCACAATCCTCTGTTATAATCATATGTGAAGTTGGCTTAATGGTTGACTGAAAACAAAAAAATATTACATTGTTTCATATAAAATTCTGTTCAATTTTTCATTTTTTAACTATAAAAAAACATGGTTATGGTATCATACGGTATTTCATTCTAAGGCAAATCTTTCCCTCAGCTTTAGGCAGAAATCAAAGGAATCCCAAGAGGTTAAGAAACAAAATGTTTTACTTGTTCTGTTATGTTTCAGTAAAAATATTACATTTGTTTTATTCTGCTTGCTTCTAAGAGCAAATTCTATGATAGACATAGCTATATAACAAACACATTTTTAATGGCACACAAATGAGTACAATTTTTTTTTTTTTGAAAAGGCAAACATGTGTTTTATACTGTTTCAATAACAGATTTAGAGCATGTTTGACTAATATCACCTAAATAGAGCAGTGATGAATGTGAAATAATTTGTCATAAAAGTAGCAGAATGTAAACAGTGTTATTTTGATTCCCATACAAAAACCTTAAATCACTAGAACTTTACTTAATTTCACCACCGCTAGTATAAAATTAGATAGCAGGATACCTGTTCTGTCTTGGAGAAGTCATGGAAGTATTGTCTCATACAACATAATCTGTTACTGAACTTTGTCTTGGACGGTGGCATGTCATAGTGGATTACAGATGTAGCATTCGTAATTCCTAGTTTAGCTGTATGCTCATCCCAACATACTGTAATACATCGAGTCAAATCTTCACATCTTTATATCAAAATTATATGCAAGCACATAAATATGTATGATTCCTGAGCAGGAAATATTTTCCTTCCTTTATTTGGACTGGATTGTTGGATTGTAAAGATAATATATACCTATTATTGTGTACTCTTGTATCATTGTCAGCATGTATATTATTTACTTACGGTTAAATTGTTGTTGTTGTTGTTGTATCATAGTGAATGTTCTATGCACACAATAGATTTACCTAGTAGGGGTACAGGCCACTGGTCAGCAATTTTTTCCACTTCGAACGTGTCCATATCTTCATGTACCATCAGACAGAAACGAGAACTTGTGTTCAATGTCTGAAAGAGATATAAAATACCATGAATTCAGGGGTACAAAATTTTCAACATATTTGTTTTAACTAATTTTGTGTTAAAACAAATTATATCTAATGAATGATATCATTCAAATCCGTGGTTTATAACTGGGTTGTTGAATTTTTTTTGTTAGGTTTTACATCGTACAAACATTGTAAAGGTTATATTTACTGGTAGAGAGAGACCTAAGGTCCCCCTTCATGCATTTATTCAGGCACAAACAGGTACCTGAATAGAACCACTGACGTTCTATAAACTAGCTGGATAGCTTCCTCACATAGTCCATGGTTAGTTGAAATTATCAGTCAAAATTTCAAGTTGATTGGTATCTGTATCATTTCATCCAAAAAAAGGCACCCAAATTATGCCATGAACCATCTATAAGCTAAAAAGTTGACAATCTTACAAGCTAAAATTCAATGTCTCTATTGGGAGTGGGGCTTGGACCAGTGGTTAACCCATCAGACTGGTAATTTAAGGATTGCTAACCAGGTTGGTTCAAACCTGTCAGAGGCAAGTCGTTTCTTTGAGCAAGAAACTTTACATTCATTGCTAAGTACTGGTTGGTTCCAGGAACGGATTCGAGAGGGTTTCAATAAGCTGATAGTTTCCAACACAATCGAACTAAAATAAATTTGTATAAACTATTGGGATTCAAACCCACGGCAGTAATACATGAACAAAATGATTCAATTTCAGAGCAATACCAGTCCGACAAGAAGAACAAATGAACAAATTGAATGTAAAATAAGTAAGTTACCTTATATAACATCAGAATGTCTCGTTTATTTGAGGCAAAAATGATGACTGGATGACTTGAGTCATCTGGCAGGTTTTCTAGTATACCCAGTACTTCCTTCAGTCTTTCTGCTTTCCTACACATATGTGTAATCTAGCAAAAGAAAAATATAACTTCAGATAAATCATATATGTACAATTATAGGTAAAATTACCTTGAAATATTGCTAAATTTGTAAATGTACAAAAAATGTCAATTTCATTTATCTTATCTTTTCTATCAGTAGAAATGCTCATAGTCATACACAGGGTATGTGTTTATTTGTTTATATTTACATTGTGTCTCTGCTAATGGCCACATCCATCATTTTTAAGGTATTTGCTATTTTTCATTTTATCTTTCAATTTTTTTTATTATGAAACATATACCAAGTTCCAGGCAAATATTTTTCAACTCTTATGATATGATATATATTTTTCCATTGTAGCTCTTGACTTCTCCAGATATGTTTGCAGGAATTGTGACACAACGTTATAGAAAACTATTTAAGCCAACAGGAAAAGTAAAATAGCTTCAATGGAAAGTTATGTACCATTAGAATTTGCAAATATAAGCCTAGAACATAGTGTATGTTTATTGTTCAAATATTAAAGATACAACCAAAAATTAGCAAAAATCTTGGGCTCCACATTTGCGATGACCTAGCGATGAAATGGATGATCAACCACTCCAGATAGAAAAGATAATAAACTTCTGTTTTTATTTTTTATTACAATTCAATGTCATGGTATCTATCATGTTGTCTTAAGCTTGAAACCTCATATAAATAGGAAAATCTAGTAAAGGCTTAGTAGCCATGTCCTTTAACCAATCTACTTATTGTGAAGCATATAGAAATACCTGTTTAACTTGGCCGTAAATTGCCGCCTCAAACGGAGATGTGATAATCAACACGGGTTCGTTCAGATTGTTAAGCATAAACTCATTGGTAGCCTGATTCCACTGTGCTCCAAAACATAAGATCTGTCGTGGGCATCCTAAATTCTTCATCTCATTCTTGATAACTAGGTGGTACGTTTTGATTAAGTTGCCAATATCTTTGTTGAAATTCTTCAACGTTTGGTCAGCATCATCAACTACCTAATGACCATACCATACTTTAAACAGTTATATTGTTTCAATGATTATAGCACAAAATTAAGATTATGGGAAAAGAATGGAAACTTGAATTAACTTATGAGCAAACTAGCCTCAAGTGTTGCAGATGTTACCATAGGAGTAATTAGTATGGTTGGGTTTCAAGCAATATAGTGACATTTCAACTTTTCTAAAAAAGGTAGACCTGAGGTGGAGCTCTACAATGGGACAACTGAGTAGAACCACCAAAATTCTGTTGTAAGCCAGCTGGGTAGCTTAGAATCCCCGACAGGATTCACACCCACAGTTGTATGGGTAAATGATTTCCTAACTAGAAATGTGTCATCATGCCACGGATGCCCCCGCATGCAGCCAAAATTTCAGATGTTATAATATTTAGTTCCAAATTTGTTTGCACAAATTATTGTTTTCATTTTAAGTTCAAAGCCCTTAAAACTTTTCAATGTTAACACAAACCATTTTCATACAATGTTCAAGGCACTGAAATTATTCAGTCTTAACCTTTTGAAAATAGCATATTTCATATTTGTAGCCAAAATAATGGCTACATACATTTCCACAAAAGTATGAGTGCTGAAACTGAAAGTTCAAAATTTTTCCAATATTCAAGAAAGATAAGTTTGTCCAAAATCATTGAACCACGACCAAATTCAAACTTAAACTGCCTATTCCTAAAATGTATATATATTGTGAATGTATCTATCTAAGTGAAAGGGACATAACTCTGCCAAAAAATCATCGAACCATGACCAAATTCCAACTTAACCTGCCCATTCCTTTGACATATCCATATGTCAAATTTGAGTTGAATATGTAACACTGTTGGGTAGATAATGAACAGAAACTGTAAATTTCATATTATTTTCAAAGTGAAAAGGGCATTACTCTGCCAAAAATTATTGAACCATGACCAAATTCAAACTTGACCTTGGCATTCCAAAAAAATATCCATATGTCAAATTTGAGTTGAATGTGTTGTACTGTTGGGGAGATAATAAACAGAAACGGAAAATTTCATATTATTTTCAAAGTAAAAGGAGCATAACTCTGCCAAAAATCATCGAACCATGACCAAATTCAAACTTGACCTGTATTTTCTCATTACATATCCATCTGTCAAATTTGAGTTAAATGTGTTGTACCGTTGGGGAGATAATGAACGGAAACTGAAAATTTCATATTATTTTCAAAGTAAAAGGGGCATAACTCTGCCAAAAATCATCGAATCATGACCAAATTCGAACTTGACCTGTATTTTCTCATGACATATCCATATGTCAAATTTGAGTTGAATGTGTTGTACGGTTGGGGAGATAATGAACGGAAACTGAAAATTTCATATTATTTTCAAAGTAAAAGGGGCATAACTCTGCCAAAAATCGTTGAACCATGACCAAATTCGAACTTGACCTGTATTTTCTAATGCCATATCCATATGTCAAATTTGAGTTGAATATGTGCAACCGTTACTAAAATAATGAACGGAAACTGATGATGACGGAATGACAGAATGACGGAAGGACGGAATGACGGAAGGACGGAATGACGGAACAGGGTAACACTATATGCCCCGGCCATTACATGGTGGGGGCATAATAAGCAACACAGACCCTTTTACATGCATTAGTTGAGTAATTAATCAAGATATATGCAAGAATGCAATAAATCAAAATGGTATCTCTATAAAACAATATATGCATTATACTAATTTTCTTAAGATAATTTTTTTCATAAAACTATAAAGTATAAAGATGGACCATATACCAGATGACATAATCTACGCAAGTCTGTATACCCTGCCTCCAGAATTCTAGTCAAACTTGGGGGAGTGGCCACCAATATTTCACAACCATTTAACAATTCACACTGAAATAGTTTCCAAACAGTTATTATGTATACATGTATATATTTTGTAACATCATTAATTTCCTGTTTTGTCAAATTGACCATGGAACTCCTAGTACAAATCACTGAAACAAAACCAACAACTATAAAAAAAAATTTAAATTACAAGAAATACAATTTTTTTTTTATTAAAATCTATAATTATTTCATTATGCACTTTCGTAAATTTTGCAGACTTCTTGCCCAAAAATTGTGTTAACTAGGTATAGCTTCAATTGTATTTTAAATAACACAGACTCAAGTCACATAGACCCAACAAAAAAACTGCATGCCATGTTAACACTTGTCTGTAAAGGGCAAAGTCTATCAATAACCAACTTTGATGAAACGGACATAACAATTAAAGATTGCCAAAAATTATCTATTACATTTTGCTAGTCACTGAAATGAAGCAGAATACTTTTTATAATGACAGTATCATAACTTACAGCTTTCTGTTCCTCTAACTGTGCCCCACCATGAACGAGGATCACCTTCATGTCCTGACGACCTCCTATCAAGGAACGTGCCTCGGAATATACCTTCTTAGCTCGACTCCATGTAAATGACAACACTATCACAAATGGCTGCAATATAAAACAGTAAAATACTTAATATATATAGTCAATTCAGGTCCACTCGACAACGAAAAAATCAGCATAATGTCACTTGAAAGAAGCAAGCCATTTGCCACATATTGAACATAAACAAGGTTTTCAATTGCTTACCCCTTTTCCATTCCTATCAACCTGATGGTAGACTTTGGCATCAGACAGGGCTGAGATCAGTGGACACAAGTATGCTAATGTTTTCCCGCCACCAGGGGGAGACACTGTTATCACATGATGACCTCGGGTAATCGCTGGCCAGGAATACGCCTGAGAAAGTTTTAAATCGGGATATCGCCTTGCACTGAATGCCTGAATGTAAATTTAGATCAATACATGTGTTAAAATTATAAAAATATGTAAGTATAAAGTTTAAGAAAAAATGTATAATGAAATCAAATTAATTCTATCAACTAAACAAACACTGTACAAGTAATACAAATAGGAAAAATCTTTATTGGACAGCATTCAAACCTTGAAAAGATACAATGGAGAAAATTTTAAGGTACGCTATATATTTTTTTCCCATGTTATGGAACACTGTATTTCTTTTTCCTCTTTCTTAAAGATTTTTTTTTAGAAAATAACACATGTACCAGTTTTTTTAGAAAATAACACATGTACCGGTAAATAACTAAAATAAATATTACACTAACATGAACACAATAAAGTAAATGTCATTAAAGACAATATATAAGAATTATTTACCATTTCCACATGTTCTGTGAATCTAGCAGACTTCAGTTTATATACTGGCCTCGGTGGACGGCTGCCATGTACCAAAACTTCATGACACATTGTCACAAATCCAGATTCCTGTAGGAAGCATTAAATACACAATTCACTATCATATTATAATATCCATCTTAGTCTTTTTAGCTCAATATTTAAAATCTTAAGTAAGAATATACATATTTCATTTGTAAATTTCAGGGCACTAGTTTACTATTTAATTGTGAAACTATGTATTTTTCAAAATCATTTTCACTTAAAATTAAACATTGTTTTATCTCATTTCTATTTTTCAAAAAAAATACTCTACTTTCTGTTTGCATCTATTTATAGAACGAAAGTCTAAATATAGTATTGTTAGTCTGGATCTAAAAATAACTCATTTCAGCAATATTTAATTAATCAATACCTTACAATACAATTCATATATGCATTTACCTGTGAAGTTGTTCTTGTTGTACTTCTTGTAGAACCTTGAGTTAGATTTGTTAAAATTCTGAAAAAAAAAATACTTTTAAAAGTTAGACTTTGAACCTGTTTTAAATACCAGTAATTTTATTTTCCTGGATATATACATTTGTAATTAAAAACAATGCCATCTCCCCTGCTGAATTTGTGTAATAGACTTGACCTGTTTTGACCTTGGAAAAGTCTATTTGTATCTGAAGGGGTCAAAATGCTAAAATTGAGGAGTGAACAGTAATAAGTCTGACGAACAGTAATAAGTCCTGTCAGACTGTACAAATATGCAGGCTGGTTCAATGTTAGTGGAATGTACTCTAAGTCTTCATTAACAATGGAGTTGAAACATTAAATTTGTTGTCTTTCTTTGATATAAGTATTGTAACTACAAGTGGAAACAGTTAACTATTGGTATTTCTAGATTTAGGCTAAAAAGTCTCTGCATATGGTTGCTCAAATTATGCTTTCTCCTTAATAAAAACAACTTTCAGATTAAATTCTATCAGTCAATAAAGACTTATGCTGGGAAGTAGTATTGAAATAAACACAGCCAAAATTGCCTTCATTCCAAAGCTTTTGTTTCACTATTTTTAGTAAATTTTTATAACATGAAAAGGTATTTTTTCAATGTGACACCAATACAAATATAATCGATTGTATTTGTAGAGTCAGTAATCCTTAAAACAAGACAATGGAGCAAACTCCAACTTCATATTAAGACAAATGAATAACAAACATTTCAAGTTCTAAGAGCAAATGGTCTTCAAGTTAGACAGTTTTTTATGACTGGAACAGGATATGAAAAAGGCATTAAATAAGAAACTAAAAAAAGAACAGTAAAATTATTAAAATATTAACCTTTTTCCTGCCATCTCACCAATCATTTTAGATCTGGCCTCGGTAAAGGCAGCAGTATGTACAGAATTGTCTTCAAATCTGAAACAAATAAAATATTTGCTTCAAATATTACAAGTAATCATGATCACAAACAAGAGGGCCATGATGGCCCTAGATCGCTCACCTGACTTATCAAACTCATCCAAACAATTACCTAGACAAGCATTCTGACCAAGTCTCATGACAGGTGAGTCAAAAATGTGACCACTACAGTGTTAACAAGGATTATCCATATTTGAGCAGTGTGACTTAGTTTTTTACCCAGGTGACACATATTCAAACTTGACCTAGAAATCATCAAAACAAACTTTCAGACCAATTTCCAGGATACTTGGATCAAAACAGTAGTAACTACAGTGTTAACAAGATTTTTTTATTTTTAGCTCCGGTGACCTAGTTCCACATGCGATTTCGAACTCATCCAAGCAATTACCTAGACAAGCATCCTGACCAAGTTTGATGATAATTGAGTCGAAAATGTGACCACTAGAATGTTAACAAGGTTTTTCCATATTTGGGCGGTGTGACCTAGTTTTTCATCCAAGATGACCCATGTTCGAACTTGACTTAGAAATCATCAAAACAAACTTTCAGACCAATTAACAGAATATTTGGATAACAACAGTAGCCACTAGAGTGTTAGATTTTTAGCTCCGGTGACCTACTTTTTCATCCGAGATGACCCATGTTCAATTTATTCCCAGCAATGACCTAGACAAGTTTCTTGACCAAGTTTGATGACAATTGAGTCAAAATTGTGACCACTAGAGTGTTAACAAGGTTTTTCTATTTTTAGCTCCTGTGACCTAGTTTTCATCCGAGATGACCCATGTTCGAACTCATCTGAGCTATCACCAAGACAAGCATCTTGATCAAGTTTGATGATGATTGATGCAAAAATGTGACCGCTAGAGTGTTAACAAGGTTTTTCTATTTTTAGCTCCTGTGACCTACTTTTTCATCCGAGATGACCCATGTTCGAACTCATCAGAGCTATCACCTAGACAAGCATCCTGACCAAGTTTGATGATGATTGAGGCAAAATTGTGACCTCTAGCGTGTTAACATGGTTTTTCTATTTTTAGCTCCTGTGACCTAGTTTTTCATCCGAGATGACCCATGTTCAAACTCATCCGAGCTTTCACCTAGACAAGCATCTTGACCAAGTTTGATGATGACTGATGCAAAAATGTGACCGCTAGAGTGTTAACAAGGTTTTTCTATTTTTAGCTCCGGTGACCTACTTTTTCATCCAAGATAACCCATGTTCGAACTCATCTGAGCTATCAACTAGAGAAGCATTCTGACCAAGTTTGATGATGATTGGGTCAAAAATGTGACCACTAGAGTGTTCACCAGGTTTTTCTATTTTTAGCTCCTGTGACCTAGTATTTTATCAGAGATGACCCATGTTCGAACTCATCCAAGCAATTGACTAGACAAGCATTCTGACCAAGTTTGATGATGATTGGTTCAAAAATGTGACCGCTAGAGTGTTCACAAGGTTTTTCTATTTATCGCTCCTGTGACCTAGATTTTCATCGGAGATGACCCATGTTCGAACTCATCCAAGCAATTGACTAAACAAGCATCCTGACAAAGTTTGATGATGATTGGTTCAAAAATGTGACCGCTAGAGTGTTCACAAGCAATTGTGGACGTACGACTACGACGGACGACGGACAACGGACATTCACCGATCCTAATAGCTCACCCTGAGCAAGCTCAGGTGAGCTAAAAAGCTGTACAAGAAAGATTGCTTTTTTTTTGGTTGGGTTTTATGTCAAACCAACACAATATAGGTCATATGGTGACTTTCAAGATTTACTGGAGGAAGAATCACTTCCGTGCATAATTTCAGGAACCAACAGGCACCTAAGAAGAACCACTAATATTCACTATGTTCATTTTGAAAATTTCCCCATAACAATGGTTGGCTTTGTTCAGACTGCTGGAAGATCAACAAGCTCATTGAGGATATTGAGAGTGGTAATGGCAAAGTTTCTGATGATGCTGACAGACAAGAACAATGTAAAAGCAAAATGATATTGAAAACAAAATGTTGCATACTTACTCAAGAGAAAACTCATAAAATCAAATCATCCCAATCACTCTTAATGATCAACATTATTTTTTTCAACCAAAAACAAGGCATTGCTCTAAATCACTGATAGCTCTGCCCTTTCACTCTACAAGATGTCAACACCTTGTCAAGTTTCTAACATGTCACATTTAGATAAGCTAATCTTTCAACATATAATCAGGCCCATTTTTTACTGAAATGTCACAGAATTTATACCGACTATCAATTGTTTCTATAAAATATGTGGAATAAAACAGCCAGGAAAATGATGCAATTAGATAAAAACAATGGAGTTAATAAAATGTGTACATCCTTTTAAATGTGAGAAAAATACATTAGAGATTATGAATTGATACAAATTCGTTATTGGCTTCAAGTTATTCACTAACATTTAAAATCCCAATTTATAACAGACATTTTTCTTAGAGTTAAAAGGATATAAACAAGAGCTGTCCGTAAGACAGCGCGCTCGACTTTTTTATTGCTTGCCAATAAAAAAAGTTTTTGCAGTAAAAGGCAATACAAGAATCTCTGTATTTTTAAAGTGAACTAGTTGTTTGATACCCTTGAATATTACAGCAATGTTTATATGACATAATTTATGGTAAAGTGAACAAGTGGATAGGAATGAATTTTTTTAGATTTTTTAAGTTTTTTAGTGCTTGCCTATAATACAAAACATTGACAGTTAAGGGCCATAATTCAAATAAAATCTTTGACAGAATTACCTTCTCCTGGACATGTTTGGGAATCATGATTGTAAACAAGTATTCCAACTTTCAAATTAATATCTCAAACAGTTCAGTCAAAAAGTGGACTGGTACTAAAAACTTAACCAAGATTCTAAGTCGATAAAAGGCCTTAATTTTTAAAAACAAATCCTTGACAGAGTTACCTTCTCTTGCGTACAGATGGGGGTAATGATGTGAAATAGCATTAAAAGTTTCAAAGCAATATCTCAAAGGGTTAAGGCAATAAGTGGATTTTACCCATATTCAATGTATTTTCTAAGTCAAAAAGGGGCATAATTCTGTCAAAAACCTTGACAGAGTTATGTCCTCTTGTCTGTTGATGAAGGTCGTGATGGTAAACAAGTATGGTCAGTTTCAAAGCAATACCTCCAATGGTTTTGAAATAAAGTGAGGTGGTACAAAAAACTTAACCAAGCTCAATACACTTTCTAAGTCAAAAAAGGGCCATAATTCTGTCAAAAACCTTGACAGAGTTATGTACTCTTGTCTGTAGATGGAGGTTATGATGGTGAACAAGTATGGTAAGTTTCAAAGCCATACTTGTAATACTTCTGAAATAAAGTGGGGTGGTACGAAAAACTTAACCAAGGTGTGACGCCAACGCCGACGCCGACGCCGGGGCGAGTAGGATAGCTCCCCTTTTCATAGAAAAGTCGAGCTAAAAAGTTATTATGTAATCATTGTCTCTGCGTGCCCCACATGTATTATCTGTGTAATAAATTTGATTGTATCCTCACATTCAGAAACACCTGACCTTTAAAAAAGTAACGTTGGCATTGTTTTGAAAACCTAGATATTTTACAATTCAGAGTGCAAACCATACCTCTAACTCCTCCCTAATATAATGCATTATTGAAATTTGTTAGACTGCGGTTAGACGACAGATTAAGTGAATTTTATTTAGTTAGTACACATTAACCAAAGTTAGACTAAGCAGAAATTTGAAAAATACTGCAATGTGATTGGACAAAAAATAATGTTGATCATTAAATAGGTTAATGTTTAATAATATGCATTAACAAAAAATAATTGGTCACCTGCCTGCGGCAGGCTTGACCAATTATTTTTGTTAATACATATTATTAAACACTAACCTATACTTGTAAACAATGTTTTTATTTTACAAACTTATACATTAAACGAAAGAGATGGTTTTTTTGGCAAAAATTTATCAAGATTATATAACAACTTAAGGACTGTTTATCTTAGTACTACTAGAGACATAATCGTATTTCTTAACCATACTAACACTACTGATAACTCAAGAAGTGGTCTCACCAACACATTTTTTTTCGAAAAGATATTCATTTACCAAAAAATTCAATAAGAGTTTAAGTAAAATTACTAAACTGTGTACCTAAAATAAAATTACCTTTTTGTAACCATGGCACTATCAATTACAGCAGGTTTTGATTCTTTCAATGACAAATTATTCATCAGTCTATCTGTCGTCTGCTTTTGGCTATTTTCACCAGACACACTTGACAGAAACATTTGTAATTTATTTGGACTGGTTTTCTTTTGATCATTACTGGTATTTACAGAACCAGTCTGATCACTGGATACAGTCTGTCTTGTTTCTAATTGGTTAATCAAACTTGATCGCGAACCAGTCAAATCTGAAGAAATAGATTGTCTAATATGTGACTGGTTGTCTACATTTGATCTGGATCCAGTCAAGTTTGTGGATTGGGTTTGGAGAATATGATGAGAATCAGTCGAGTCTATGGTTCTAGGACACTTGTGTTGAGACTGGTTGACAGGACTTATGCATGAAGGCATCTGCTGCTGGAGTCTTGTTGAGGTAACATCACTGTCTGACCTTAAATATTCATACAGATTATTATCATTATTAAATGCACTTCCCCACACCACTAATAATCTAAGAAACCAGAATAACAAATATGCTGGCTGGTAGCGGCCAACAATGCAGATTGGTCAGGCTGGCCTGATTTTTGCATCTACATTTGTGAATTGGACATAATTACTGTCCAATATGAGATACCAAGACTAAAATATTCATGTATATTTTTTTTTAATTATGTGAATGACTTTTTAATATCAAAATGCTTTCACTTGCAGAAAATTATACATATACAATAAGGTAACATCTGACTTAAAAAAAAAAAAAAAAAAAAACAAACAAGAAACGTGTTTAAACACAAATGCCCCCGACTCAGATTCTTGTCAGTGGGGCAATATTTCCAAAAATGTTTACCCATTCACTCAGTAATGGACAGAAAAATTGCCAAAAAATTGTAAACACAAGTTATATAGCTTGATAAAGTCATGGCATTTTTGTAATTGTGAGAAATATAAGTTGCCAAGTCATTGCTCTGACTTGTGAAGTTGAAAAATATTCAACTTCATGCAAGTTATCTTCCTACCAAATATGAAATACATCTGTCATTAAATAAAAGGCTGTATGGGTGCAAAAGTGTAAAAATCTATTTTGAGCACTGGTGACCTTAACCAAACTTGACCCCTAACTCTATCCAAAAAAAGAATACCATGTAAGTTATCTTCCTACCAAATATGAAATACATCTGCCAATAAATAAAGGCTGTATGGGCAAAAGTGTAAAAATCTATTTTCAGCACTGAATGACCTTAACCCAACTGACCCCTAACTCTATCCAAAAGAAGAATACCATGTAAGTTATCTTTCTACCAAATATGAAATACATCTGTCAATAAATAAAGGCTGTATGGGCAAAAAGTGTAAAAATCTATTTTTAGCACTGGTGACCTTGACCAACTGACCCCTTACTTCATCAAAAGAAGAATACTATGTAAGTAAGTAATGGACAGAAAAAATTGCCAAAAAAAAATTGTAAACACAAGTTATATTAGCTTGATAAAGGCATGGCATTTTGTAATTGTGAGAAATATAAGTTGCCAATCATTGCTCTGACTTGTGAAGTTGAAAAATATTCAACTTTCATGCAAGTTATCTTCCTACCAAATATGAAATACATCTGTCATTAAATAAAGGCTGTATGGTGCAAAAGTGTAAAAATCTATTTGTGAGCACTGGTGACCTTAAACCAAAACTGACCCCTAACTCTATCCAAAAGAAGAATACCATGTAAGTTATCTTCCTACCAAATATGAAATACATCTGCCAATAAATAAAGGCTGTATGGGCAAAATGTTGTAAAAATCTATTTTGAGCACTGATGACCTTTACCAAACTGACCCCTAACTCTATCCAAAAGAAGAATACCATGTAAGTTATCTTTCTACCAAATATTGAAATACATCTGTCAATAAATAAAGGCTGTATGGGCAAAAGTGTAAAAATCTATTTTTTAGCACTGGTGACCTTGACCAACTGACCCCTTACTTTCATCAAAAGGAAGAATACTATGTAAGTTATCTTCCTACCAAATATGAAATACATCTGTCAATAAAAAAAAGCTGTATGGGCAAAAGTGTAAAAAATCTAGTTTTAGCACAAGTGACCTTAACCCACTTACATGTATCCCTACCCCAATCAAAAGGATGAATACCATGCAAGTTATCTTCCTACCAAATATAAAATATATCTGTCACTTGATAAAGGCTGTATGAGCAAATGTGGTAAAAACCTATTTTAGCATTTTTTAAATTTTAAATATTTATTTTTTAAACCAGTAACCTTGACCTTGACGCTAGAGACCGCTTACTCCACAAAAAAGTAGAGGACCATCAAAGTTATCCACCTACTAAATATGAAAGATATCATTACAAGAAATTAAGCAATTAGGAGAAGTTTTAAGATAAATCCAACTTGCCGAAATAGGTTAACCAGACAAGGGCCCTATTTTCAAAGTGAAACAAGGTGCCATAGTCACAAAATACGCCCGTTTTACGAAAGCTTTAGATGGAGATGGGGGCATTATGGATAAGTGTTATCCAGCAAGCAAGTTTTTATTCTTGGCACTGTGTTGTTAAATGAACCTTAAAACAAATCAGTAGGGAAGATATGTGCACAGGATGTGTGACCTGACCTTGGTCGCAGGGACCTGAATTTTATGCACGGCACTCAGTCTCACAATGATGAACATTTGTGCCAAATTATATTGAAATCCCTCTATGCCATGTAGAAGTTTTTGCTCCAGACAAAGCTTTTTTCTATGAGCTCTAACTGTGACCTTCACCTTTGACCAGAGACTTGGTTCATGTGCAGGGCACTACGTCTCATGGTGGTGAACAATTCTATAAAGTAACATTAAAATCCTCCATGCATGTAGAAAATATGCTCCGGACAACATCTGGATATTTTAATCATCTTCAGTGACCTTTGACCTTGCAAATATTAACCTAAATTAAATGTGTCACACCTGTAGTCATGATAGTTACCATTTGTGCTACAATCCATCAATAAATGATGACTAAATGGTCCCTATACACATCTTCAAATTTTTATCTGAACTTTGACCTCTATGTGTAACCTTGACTTTGGTCGAAGGATCTGAATTTTGCGTGCGACACTCAGCCTCACAATGGTGAACATTTGCTGCCAAGTTATATTGAAATTCCCCCTATGAAATGTAGAAGTTTTGCTCCGGACAAGCATTTTTCAATGAGCTCCTAAGTGTGACCTTGACCTTTTGACCTGGATCATGCATGGAGCAATACATATCATGGTGGTGAACATTTCCATTAAAGTATTATAAAATTCTTCCATACATGTAGGAGATATGCTCCAGACAAAATCTGGATATTTCACCATCTTTAGGTGACCTTGACCTGCATATATTGACCCTAAAGTACATGTGTCACAGCCGTAGTCATGATAATGACCATTTGTGTTACAATTCCCTCAATAAAATGATGATTAAATCGTCCCTATACACATCTTCATATTTTTATCTAAACTTTGACCTCTTATGTGTGACCTTGACCTTGGCTGCAGCGACCTGACTTTTACCGGTGCGCGACAGCTCCGCCTCACAATGGTGAACATTTGTGCCAAGTTATATTGAAATCCCTCTATGCATGTGAAGTTTTGCTGCACGGACAAGCATTTTTCAATGAGCTCTAAGTGTGACCTTGACCTTTGACCTAGAGACCTAAGTTCATATGCGTGACAATGGTTCCTCATAATGGTGAACATTTCTATGAAATTTCATTAAAATCCCTCCATGCGTGTAGGAGATATGCTCCGGACAAAATCAATGGACGCCGTCCGCCCCGACCGACCGCCCGCCAGGGCGGGGCGTTCCCAATAATACGTCCCGTTTTTCAAAACAGGCGTATAAAAAGGGAAATAACTGGGAAATATGGATGACACAGTTATATAACTTGGCAATATCATGTACTTTTGTATTGATAAGTAAGTGTGGAAATATATAAGCCATTAGTATAGATAGAACTTAAATATTTCCAACTTTTGCCGTTTTATGTTAACCATTATTCATTTTCTAAGTGCTGAACGTGCTGAAAGGGCAATAACTTGGGTAAATATGAAAGCCAGAGTTATGTACTTGCCAGATCATGCACTTTGTATTGATTAGTAAGTGTGTAAACTTAGAAGCCATTAGTGTTGCTGGTATATCGTCGGACTCAAAAATCACTATCGATAAATGACCACCACATCTCAATTGTCTGCCAATAGTACCATCGAGTTTCACACTTATAATGGCCCTTTTTTCTTTAGTATGATTTGCTCTTTGAATTCAATAAAAACAACACAAATACCAATACATACTTTGTGACAGTCAATTTTTGTGTCATTATTAGTACTAGTCAACAGGTCAAAATATCAATGAGTAGTATTGTAGATCACTAATTTAACTACAGTAGATATATAAGTTTAAAATGTTATGTTTACTAACAACTATAATTTTCTAAGTAGTATTAACCATGTTAAATAGGGTTTGAATACAAAAAAAATACTTTAAAATTGTCTTGAATTTAAAGAGATTCGGTCAGGAAACTTCTTTTTGACTGCATGTAAAAAAGTTACGCCATAGGCAACTTCAGCGATGGTAGAACCACTTTAAATAATCGATTTTTTAAAAAGGACTATCGATTGTTGCCGATTATGGGGTGGTCCGATAGTTATCAATTTTCAAGAAATCGGACAACACTAGAAGCCAATTGGTACAGGTAGAACTAAGCACCAACATACACACTCCCAACAAATACTGTGCCGTTCAAGGGGTAACCTCGTACGAACAGAACGGTGCGACCGACGACGGTTCAATCACTATATGCCGGGGAGCATAAAAATCACGAAAACAACACCTTGTTTTTTGCGGGTTTGGTTTTCTGGCGACTTCCACTTTACTGCGTGGAGGAAGACCCTCAGGTTGCCCATTTCCGAGCACATTCAGACGCAAACTGCGCAAAAGCAACCCGACATTCTGTAAGCTAGCTAATAGCTCCCTCATATGAAAGAATCAAGTTCACCTGTTTGGGATACGAACCAACCTGCATTGCATGGGCAAGCTGGTTGAAGTCAACAACCTTTACACTTGGTCACGGACCACCAAACATAGCTTCCATTAAAATATTATATACTAGTACCCATATAACAAAAACACTTATGACCTTTAATCAATAGTATATTCTAATGTAACAGTACAGGAACAAAACTGAAATAAGCTTCATGTACAAGCCCCAAAGTACCCCCCCCAGTGTTTGAGATAAAAAAAGTTTTAATAAAAGAAACTTTATCCTGTAACTATCAGAAGTTATTTGCCACTGCCGATGGATAGTCTTTGAAAAGATCACAATAAGATTAAAATGATCACTCCACTTGAATTATAACATTAACTTTTTACGACTATTGTTTTTACAGGATAGCTAATGGGAAAAACAATAAAATAATATG